GTTCTTTTTTCCAATCCTCCCTCCCTCTCTCACCTTCAACTATTTGGGTGCACTTGCTTTCCATTTCTTGGGTCTACTCGTGCTGACAAATTATCCTCAAAGTTAATTCCTTGTGTCTTTTTAGGCTACTCTTCCCAACACAAGGGATATCGTTACTTTGATCCCAAAAGTTCCAAACTTTACATCTCTCGACATCTAAGGTTTCTTGAAACTCATTTTCCTTATGCTACGTCTCAAACTTCTACGTCCTCTCCAACTTCATCATCACGGGTGTTGCTTCCTTTACCCATGTCTATTCCTCCTCCTTTTGTACCTTTTTCTAATCCTACGACACAAACTCTTTATTCAACAAGGCTTTCTTCTCCACCACCATCTAATTCCCCGCCTAGATCACCTCCACCACCATCTAGTTCCCCGCCTAGACCATCTCCACCACCAAGACATCACATGACCACTCGTACCACAACTCGTAAGCCTAACCGTTTAAATAATTATGTTACCTATACTTCCTCTCTTACTTGTCCTCCTGAACCTGACCCTACCTCTTTTACTCAGGCCAATAAATTTCCTCACTGGCGTCAAGCTATGCTTGAAGAATTTAATGCTCTTCAACGTAATCAAACTTGGACTATAGTTTCTCCTCCTCCTAATGCTAATATTATGGGTTGTAAGTGGGTTTTTCGAACTAAAAGAAAATCCGATGGGACTCTTGAGCGCTATAAAGCTCGTTTAGTAGCTAAAGGCTACCATCAATCTCCTGGCATACATTACGCAGATACTTTCAGCCCGGTAATCAAACACACTACCATTCGCATTGTCGTCACCATTGCTCTTAATCGAAATTTGCCAATCCGTCAACTTGATGTGAACAATACCTTTCTCCAAGATAATCTTCATGAGGACGTATATATGAGTCAACCCTCAGGCTTTGTTGATCCAAAATATCCATATCATGTGTGTCGTCTTTACAAAGCTTTATATGGTCTTAAACAAGCTCCTAGAGCCTGGTTTCACCGTCTTAGTCAGAAACTTTATACTCTTGGTTTTATTTCCTCTAAATCTGACACTTTTCTTTTTATCTTGTCTAAGTCCTCACACACTACTTTTGTCCTAGTTTATGTGGATGATATCTTGGTGCCTGGTTCCTCTTCTTCCTTCATTCAATCTCTCATTGATTAGCTTCATTCTACCTTTACCATCAAAGATCTTGGTTCTCTTCATTATTTTCTGGGTATTGAAGCTCAATCTACATCCACCGACCTTCTTCTTTCTCAATCTAAGTATATTCAAGATCTCTTCACTCACACTCACTTCGACACATCCAAACCCGTCTCTACCCCCATAACCCCCACCTTACCTCTCTTTAAAAATCATGGGGTACCTTTATCTGACCCTACAGAGTATCGGCGTACTGTTGGTGCTCTTCAATATCTTTGTGTCACTCGTCCTGATATCTAATTTGCTGTTAATAAAGTGTCTCAATTCCTCTATTGTCCCACTGATATTCATTGGTCTGCTGTTAAGCGTATACTTCGTTACCTACGTTCTACCCCTACCCATGGCCTACATCTTACAAAGAGTTCCCCTCTTTCAATTACTGTTTTTGCTGATAATGATTGGGCTGGTTGCCCTGATGACCGCCGCTCCACTTCTAGCTATTGCATTTTTTGGGGTTCTAATCTCATCTCTTGGAGTGCCAAGAAACAGCCGACTGTTGCTCGTTCAAGTACCGAAGCTGAGTATCGCAGTCTTGCTCTTGCTGCAGCTGAATTATGTTGGCTTTCTTCTCTCCTCCATGAGCTTGGCTTGTCTTCATTACCTCCTACTCTTTGGTAAGATAATTTAGGAGCTATTTACCTTGCTGCTGATCCAGTATCTCATGCACGCACCAAACATATTGAGATTGACATTTACTTTGTTCGTGATTTGGTTCGTCAAAAAGCTCTTACTATTCATCATGTTCCGTCTGCTGCCCAAATTGCTGATATTATGACCAAATCTCTGCCTACGAAGACTTTTCTTCAACTTCGGGACAAGCTCATTGTTGTTCCGCCCATGAGCTTGTGGGGGTCTGATAAGATTAGTCAAAGATCTCATTAGTTAGGATTATTTAGATTCTATTTGTTTAGATTATTTCAGATTTTATAATATCTAGATCTTAACTAATGTTGATGTATGCCTATAAATAGAGGCAATGTAATGTACTGCTCCACACAATACAATTTATGATTTCATCTTCTTTCATGAATTTATTTCTCATCAATACTTGACATTGAATAGTGAGTTGGAGGAATTCATCAGAGAAATTCATTCCATTGAAGAATAATCATAGTTTTCTTGCGGGTTGAGTAAAATTTTCAAACAAATTACTTTTACTGATGAGGTGAAGATGATACGGTGCACTTGGTTCCACTGTTCTTAGAAACACCATTATTTTAATCTAATAGTTCTCATTCATTCTATTCATCCTACAGTTCAAAATATATGACTGTACCATTCAGTCGACTGGACTGTAGTCACTCTCATATATATGAGAGTGACTACAGTCACTCATATATATATATATATATATATATATATATATATATATATATGTGGTGATTCTAGATTTCCCTAGGGGCTGCAATTTAGATAAGGCAGTATCAAACTTGATTTTCACTTGATGGCTACACCATTTAATATAATCATATATAAATATAAATATGTGTGTGTGTTTGTGTGTGTGTCAGTTTCAAATGTTACCATTTTATTTCAGTAAAATATTTTGTCTTCTGTTGTGATTGATATGATTTTAGTCATTTGTTGTTCGACGTGGTTTTCCAAACAGTAATGATTAATCGAAACAGGAATCTCAATCATTTCCCTAACCTTGAGTAAAAAGAAGTCTTAAGTAGTTTAAGGGTCGTGCTGTTGAGCGCCCTAATTTTTTCATTTGAACGCCCGAAAAAGACGTACACGCCCCTATAAAATAAAGTTGGTTTGCAAAAAAAAAAAAATGTATGGCGAGGGAGAAATGAGCCACCCCCTTAAGGGGTGGAGAGAAAACCTTCGCCGTATGGCGAAGGTGTGGCGCCCTTCCACATTTGTGCTGGTTGGCGAGCGCCATTTTGTGCGCCACCACCTTAATTACTTTTTTTTTATTTTTATTTTATTTATTTAATTATCTTTAATTTAACTATTTTTAATGTATTTAATTAATTTTTTTTATTTATTTTAATTATTAGTTTAATAAATTTATTTAATTCATGTATTTATTTAATTTATTTAATTCATGTATGTTCTTAATTTATTTATTTATTAAATTTTATTTATTTGTTTAGTGGTTAGACAAATAATTTTAACTTAAATATTTAGAGAATGTTGCTTAATTATGTAGTAAATTTTTATAAAAATTTATCATTTAGTTATGTAAAATTTTTTAAACGTAAACAAAAAATTATCATTTAATAAAAACTAAAACTTATGAATTTACTATCAAAAAAATTAATTATTCATCATCGGTGCATCTAACTGTCCTGGGAATATTTTTTTAGAAAAAAATATAAAATTTAAAGTACGTTGAAACGAAAAATTAAAAGCATGGAAAAAATATAAAATATTTTATTTATTTTTTTAATATTTTTTTAACTGCCAAATAGATAAAAAAAAATAAAATTAAATAAATAAATAAATAAAATAATTAATTAATTAAATAAATTAAAAGAAAAAAGGAAAAAAAAAAGTAAATTCGGTTTGGCGCCAAACCGAAGGGGGTGGCGCCAGATTTTTGCGCCACCCCCATTTTGGGGGTAAAGTTTCCTCTCGCCTCCCTCAATTGGGAGGTGAGAAAATTGTGCGCCACCCTTAAAGGGTTAAGGGTGGCGCATTTCTTCTGCGCCAGCCGTGAAAGGCTGGCGCAGTGCTCCGTCGCTTCCACCCTTTTTTTTTAAAAAAAATACGAATTCAGGAGTAAAATAGTATTTTTGAGATTTTTTAGGGCGCTCAAATGAAAAAATTAGGGCGTTTAGTAGCCTCCCAGTTTGAAAATCATCTCCCTCGAAACATTTCCACTTTATGAAATTTGTATATTATCATCTTAAAATTTAATAAAGTAAAAAGAACAAAAGTATGGGTATTTAAACTGATGCCAATATTTTCGTCCAGGAAAGAAAGAGAGAAAAACTAGCCAATTTGGAACTGTAGAAATTATACATGTTCTTTCAGGTTTTCTCCATAAAACTTTATTTATTTATTTAGTTTTGGTTAACAGAAAAAAGCACACACACTCACGAATTGGATTTGGAGTAAATAACATAGTAGTACGCATATGTTAACGAATGTGAAATTTTTTTCTCTTTCAAGAAATGATTTCACCAACCAGTACTTTTGATTGGGAAATAAGGTTTTAGTATTACAATTGATCAAATTATCAGCAAAAAATAATATAAAATAAAATAAATTATTAAGGTTCTATGTTGATTCGGAAGTTTATTTCTAATTTAAGTAGTTGCAAATATTCCATACCAAGAAGACATAGCATGCAACTCATAGCATGCAACTTTATCTATTGTAAATGGAGCTGTAAGAGTTATTATTGACCATTTTTTCAGCTTTGTGCTAATAATGGATTAGATTAAAATGGTTCATTTAAATTCCGAAACTTATTAATTTGGTGAAATTGCCGGAAATCAATATATCAATGCACCAATGCATATTGAGTCGTACTACTTAAACAGTCTCTCTATATTGACATACTGGAGTAAGGCTGCGTACATCTTGACCCCCAGACCTTAATCGAGTTAGAAATATACTGGGTATGTTGTTGTTGTAAGACATAGCATGCAACATTAATTAAAATGTTTGTTAGTAAAGTTTTGCGTTTCAGGAAAAGACCTACCCACTTGAATTTGGGATTAGTTGCAGTGGATTCAGACAAAGTATATGTAATATACCAAAAAAAAAAAAAAGAGAGAGAGAAGGAAAGAAAAGGGCAGTCTCTTGTCAAGAATTACATATAGAAGCAAACAGTAGTATTTTATTTCAATAAGATTAATGATGCCTTGGATCTCACACATCTGGATAAGAAAAAGAAAGTAACTATTGGAGTAATGAACTGATCAAACAACTTTTCCCAAATTTTATTAGAGCAAATTTAGTGTCCTAGGCAAATGATTTTGACTTAGGCTTCAGAAGCACCTCTTCAATCAATTTGTCTAAATTCAAGTATGAAGATCCAACACAAGGTCTTATTGCCTCTTTAGCTTTGTCCTTCCACTCTAATGTTCTTTTCCTCAATTCCGATCTTTCATCTCCCTCCATCAACTCCCTCACAATTTGTTCCACCTCAACTCTATCCACATTATTACCAATCTCCACTCCAACCCCCAAAGAAGAGCAACAATAGAAACAATTCGTTTGTTGGTCGGCGAAAACCGGCCAGCAAATCAACGGCACTCCAGCCGACAAACTTTCCAGAATCGAATTCCATCCACAATGTGTTAAAAACGCACTCACTGACGGATGGTTAAGAACCATCTCTTGATTACACCATGTCGATAACATTCCTCTCTCTTTTGTAACTTCCATGAATTCGGGCGGTAACATTGTATCATCCGCGACAAGATCCGGCCTAATGATCCACAAGAAATTTTGATTGCTGTTTGCGAGCCCCCATGCAAACTCAAGCAATTGATCTTTTGTCATGACTGTAATACTACCAAAATTCACATAAATCACTGATCTTTTCTCCTTGGAATCAAGCCATTCAATACAGCTATCATCTTCTTTCCACATATTGGATTGAATGGATGCAATAGTATTTATATCATCGTCTTCCTTTTCAATCTCTTTAAGGAGCAAATGTATAGGTCCAACAGTGTATAGGTGATCAACCATGTGAGAATATTGTTTCAGAACATTGTATTCTAAAGCATCAAAAGTGTTTATGATAAGAGCGGATCCTTTTAACGTTCTTGGCATTAAATCCATTAAGTAATCTAAGAATATGTCCTCCGGGTCAGTTGTCCAAATAACAGTTGGGATATCTCGCAAACGAATACTTTTGATTCCGGGTATCCAATCAATAGTTTGATCCAGGTATCCATTTGTAAAGTAACTTTGATCTGTAAAGAGATATTACAAACGAAGAAAGATATACGTGACAAATGAGAAAAAATGTGATAATAGCGCATTTCGCCCTATTGGTTCCTCAACTTGTGTTGCAAATATATATGCTTTTGTCCATTGTTTAGTACTCCTCCAGTGCTTAATATAAGACATTTTGATTTGTCTTAGATTCACTTCGTATACATTTTTAAATGAAAAAAAATTTAAAATATTTTTTAATAATTATAAGAGCACAACTAATGTGAAAATATAATTTTAAAGTTTTTTTTCTAATTAAAAATACATATTATGTGAAATGTAGAACAAATTAAAATGTCTTATATTAAGGACCGGAAGGAGTATGTTTCAACTAAGTACCCCTCTCTCTCCCTAAAATAAAAATAATTCATATTGGTAATTTGTGGATTATATTAAAAACAGTATAATATTTAAATTGTTACGTGGACTATTTTTGCGGAACTGAATGAGTATTTCAATTTAAATTTCTAATATAATCAAGTTGCTCGGTCGAAATGACATCTTTTAGTATAAATCACACGTTAGGAACATAATAATGTCGTTGGTGGTCCAAAAAGATTTGATGGACAGCGAGTGGTTTAAGATAAAAAGATTCAATTTGGACCAGTATGCTAAATGAAGCTGGGGACCTTCAAAACTTAATCAAGCATCAATAATGCAATTTACTATTCAATACTCGTAACTACACATACCTTTCAAAGGTGTATAACCTCGTTCCTTAAGATGTGGATAATGCACCATACACATGGCAGAGATGGCATTGACCGTCCAAATTTGTGCATTTGGTATTCCTAATTCTTCAGATGCTTCAAGTGTGAATGGCATAACACAATCAGATATAATGCAAGTCACAGGTGGAGATTCATCATCAGTCAACGCCTTATTATTGAGGTTTTTGAGAAGTTTGAGAAAAGGGTCATAACAAGTCTCGGCAATGGAAAGGCAAAGCTGGAAGACATCTTGAGTGGCGTCTTCATTTTCCGGTGGCGGAAGGCCGTCCGGGATGGCTTCAAATCTGAAATCTTTTGCTCCGTCCAAAGAGTATGGACCTCTCGATTTTAGGGTTCTTTTGTAGTTGTATTCGGTGTGGACAAAAGTGATGTGAAAGCCCTTGTGATGGAGTAATTTTGCAAACTTTAACATTGCACTAATATGACTTTGAGCTGGATATGGAACACAAACAGCATGAGGCTTCTTGACTAATTTCCCCATGGCTATATTGAAGTAATAAGCTAAACTGATTATGCCTTTTTTTAATTGGGAAAGGAAGCTTAATTGTGTATCATGCACCATAATCCTCCCTGTTATTTATACTGCTAAGTTGCATACTTGGTTCTTCATATGTAGGACATTTGTTTTATTTGTTTGTCAAAGGAGCTCCATTTGTCTATTCATTCTATTTCCCCCATTGAAAAGAATGTTTCAATTTTTTTTTTAGTTATTATGTTTAGAATGCAACGTTTTAAGAAATTTGCTTAAACCATGATTCATGGATTTCCCCTTGGTCCCATGCATGCCGGCAATTTCAATGAGATGAACTTTTCACTTGAAAGATTTTCATCTCAATTTTAATTCTGCATGTTGGATTTTTTTTTTTTTTAATTTTTTTGTACTTGAAGTAACAGAAAAATGTAACCAATCATTTCAAAATGGATGTAATATTGTATTTGTAAGGTGTAATTTTTAAATTAGTTACGTCTACTTCACGTATGTGCCTTATATATGAGATATATGTGAGGGAGAATAATTTCTGTCTTCCCCGTATACAATTATAGTTATTTTCTTCATTTCGTGGCTTATGTAACTTTAGCGACATAAGTTGATCAACAACAACAACATACCCAATATATTCCCAACTCGGTTGGGGTCTGGAGTCAAAATGTACACAGTCATACCCTTGTATTTCAATACAAAGAGACTGTTTAAGTAGTACGACTCAAGATGCATTGGTGTATTGATATAGTTATTTCTGACAACTTCACCAAATTAAGAAGTATCAAAATTTAAATGAGTCATTTTAATTTAATCCATTATTAGCATATAACTGAAAAAATTATCAATATTGACTCTTCCAGCTCCACACAAGTTGATCAAGCTTCAAAAATTTTGTGTCTCTCTAGTTGCCGGTTGTAGCTCTTTTGCACTTTGTAGAACAAACCCATTTTGCCGATTCTTCATTTGAAAGAAAAACACACAAACAAACAAACAAAAGGAAAAAAAAAAAAAAAAAAAAAAAGGAAAGACAAAACAGAAAGTAGTAAGGAAAGAATGAAGAAAAGATCCAATTTTCTTACTTTTCAAAATTTTTTATCTGATTTAATCTTTATTTCGTTTATCCTAATATAAAAGCTATGTTTACATACCTTTGTAAGAAAATAAACATAAATTTTATCTTAGATATGGAGGGAGAACTTTGTAAGCAAGTTAGATGGTGTTTTTTGACAAGGTCGATGCAGTTTTCTTGTGCAAGGAGATGATTGCTCTATTATTAATAAAGAAATAAAGAAAGAAAATTAAATAGATTGCGTGTCTTGTAGTTAACTGCATTAGTTCATTGTAGTTTGACAAGTTACGTAATATAAGTTATCTATGTTTTTGGCACCAGCCACCCTGTAGTAGAGTTTTTTCCCTGGGCTTTTGGAGAATTGGTTTCACTTTTTTTCTTTTTTCCTTTTTTTTTTTCTTTTTTGTCTTTTCACTTTTGTTTCTAACAATTATGGTCTAAGAAAGACAGATTGAAAGTTGAAACCAAAATGTATCTAAATTCCCTACTTAAGGTAAGACAGACCACATCAAAGATTCCCAAATATAAATTTTACTTAAATTCCAATCCACCTGCACTAGCTAAAACATCACGTGATACACGATTAATTTTAGTTTTATCCTTATTTTGTATCATGGAAATGATAAAAGCAAGAAAACAAATGAATAAATGAGAGTGAAACATATGAAGCCTAAGGGAGATCACCATGTAAAATAACCCATCACGGTTTTCTTTTTTCTTTTTCCTTTTTTTTTTTTTTTTGGGGGGTAAGAACAATATAGTAAAATAATATCATTTCATTTTATGAATATACACTTTGTAAAATGTTTACATAGATCTTCATTTGAATTTATTTATTTACTAGTGAGATATATTATAAATTGAAAGCAAAAAAAAAAATTGATAGAGATTAATTAGGATATTACGAAGTTTGATCCCTTGGCTTCCAGCATTGCCTTTTTCTTCAGATTCCTCAAGACCAGATTAATGTTTCGGCACCAAGGATAATACAAAATGATGCATTTTTAAGTGTAACAAAGGGAAAATGCATACTCTAATTTAATTTCAACATGCCAAATGCATATTTTGTAGAGGAGTAATCTGCTCAAAAGGTCCCTTACATTTACCCAAAAAATTAATTTGGTCATTTACATTAAAAACTCACTTATACGGTTCTTTACATTTTTCATTTCAACTAATTTTGTCCTTTTTATCTTTTTTAACCCTTTACATTTGTGAGTTCTCGAGCTGATCAATTCCTGGTCAAGTCAACAGGGGCATTTTCGATAACTCATAATTATCATATTTTTAAAATATATTAAAAACCAAAAATGTATTAAAATAATAATAAATATATTATATTAATTTATAATTTATTATTTAAAATTCAAAATTCAAAATTCAAAATTCAAATATAATACTATTAAAAAATTTAAAAATCCAAAATCTGAATTTTTAGTTTTTACCCGTAGGCCCCATTCGAAATTTTTTTACCCAATTTGACTTTCTATCTTGTGGGGCCCACACCAATTTTTTTCTTTACCTTTTATTCGGTATTTGATTCAGCATTTTTTTTCTTCTCTTCGCGCTGAGACACTTCTCCATTCCCCTTGGTCATCGTAGAAAAACCATGAACCCTAATTCTCAAATTGGGCGGCACAGTCCGCGTAATCGAAACAACAGTCTACAGGAGTTCAATCTCCATTCAGACATCATACCCCCTACATGTAGATGCGGCCTTCCATGTGCGGTTATAACGTCGTGGACTGACGATAACCCGGCAAGAAGATTTGCCCGTTGCGCGAACTGGACCGATGAGAGTCCTTCAACCAGATTCGGTCACAGGTGGAAAACTAAGGTATGTTGATTTGGCATTGGTTATTTTGTATTTAGTTTTTATTTAATTTATTTTTTATGGTGAATTATTGAACGGTCAGGCCAAGTATTGTTCGTTTTAGGTCTGGGTTGATCCGGAGACATGTAAAAGAGGAAGAGACGTTATACCAGGACTTCTGCGGAGACTTGATAGACAGGATGAAGAATTGAGTTTTGTGGACCAAAAACTGTCGGATGTAGAAGAGCAATTAACTAATGAGATGGCAGAATCGTTCAGGTACAAGTGTAGGGTTGCTTCATTGGAGAGCGAGAACAAGGTATTAAAGCTTCAATTGGTTAAGCTGCAAGCAAATAAGAAGAAGTTGAGGATGGTTTATGTTGTTGTCGTGGTATGGATATTGTGGAAAGTGTGTGTTGTTTTGCTGTCAAGGAGAAGAACGAATTAAGCCACAGCTATATGGCAATTGGTAGGAGTTAGAGAGAGGACTAGAGTGTTTAGTTAATGTTTTAGCATCTTTGTGTTTGGTTAATGCTTTAGTTTCTCCGTAAAACGTAGCTTACGTGGTGTTGTTTAATGCTTTAGTGTTGTTGTAAGACTTAGCTAATGTGTTGTAATATATGTATCCCCTTTTGATGTGTTCTTCATTGTTTTTTTTTTCCAGAATTGAGATCAATCTTATGGCAGCCTAAATGTAATGGTAAAGGTTACAGTCAACCAAAAAAAATTATACAATGTAAAGGACCTAAAAAGTTGCACCGAAAATGTAAAGCAATAACTAATGCCATTAAGGGAAATAGAGTAAGCCAGGAGCAATTACATGGAAAAACAATGAAGTGAATGCTAAAACTTGCAACTCACTTGGCATCACTAGTACCATAGAGAAAATTGGCCTTACAAATTTCACAATCTAATTCATCACAAGAACAAACATCATCCTCTTCATCATCAACTAATTCGACGTTTGGATCAAGCCTAGAGTGCTCAGCTAGTCAACATTCATCACAATAGCAACTGAGATCTACGTCAGCATCTATCTCATCATCATTAATCATAGAATTATTGTTTCGAGCAAACCAGTATTCATCCGCTTTATTCAACGCATAAAGGACGATTAATCTGGATTCATCAGCTAGAGCATCAAAGCGGAGAATGGAAACTCTCCTATCACCGACAATCGCCTCAACGCCATTCTGTTCACTTAAAGAGTAGAAAGTGACAAATCTGGCAATCCCAATCTGCTTGGCCATCTCATCTAAATCTGCATCCGAAACAGTTTCAAAGTCCACATGATCGAAAATTCTGAAATCACCTCCATCATAAAACGGGAATGGCTTTTCCCAAAGACAGCCACTATAGTGAATTTTAATGCTCCCAAAACTGCTACTGCTAACTGAACAAAGAAAAGGGTCAGATGAGAATATTTGAAGTCCATATTGTGGAGCAACCAAAATTTTAAGTTAAAAAGAAGAAAGAAAAAGGGAACGTACAATATACAGGATCAAAGTCATCGTTGAGCTCTTTTGGACACGGAGTGTACATACCATCGATGGACTTCACCATTTTTCAGCAACAATCTCTTGTGGATTCAGTCACCATGTATGTCTTTTTATATTCCCTCCAAAGGTACAAGTGTTTTATTTTCCCTCCAATTCTATTGGAGATATATGGTTGTGTTTTACTTTCCCTCCAATTCTATTAGAAGATAGATGGTTGTGTTTTATTTAACCTCCAATTCTATTAGAGATAGATGGTTTGAGTTTTACTTTTCCCTCCAATACTACTGGTATAAGTTTTAGTTTCCCTCCATTTGGCAGCACATGTAAATGATTAAAATAGTTAACAGAAAAGTAAAGTGCCAGGAATTAATGCAACCATAAGTACGCCATTCAACATGCAAAACCATACCAGATTAGTCTAAGGCTTGTTACAAAAGTGAATGTGTCATATGATTGACATACGCCAAAATTACACCATTCAACATGCAAAACCATACTAGATTAGTCTAAGGCGTATTACAAAAGTGAATGTGCCATATGATTGATATATGTCATTCAAAATAGGAGTCTAGATCTAACATAACATCTAAACCCTAACAGCCAGTCGCAAAAGTTCCTAACAACACAACTACAACCAAACAAGCCTATCCGTCGGTTGCACCTTCAGTTGCATTAGTATACATTACAGCAACAGAGCTTGTACAAGTTGAACGATAATGACCAGTTCTCTTACAGGCTCCACACATAACAAGTCTCTTGAGCTGCTTGAATAATAACAACAACCACGAGGTCAACATAACCTACACACTTATAGGTGAGACTACGAAGTTTAATAAGAACAGCAAATGGAACATGGGAACATTACCTTTTTAGCTGGTTCTGGGTTGCTGCATGATGCATCTTCCACACCTTTTCTCTTTGCCTGCTTGAAACATAACAACTACAACGAGGTCAATATCATAGACACTGCACAGGTAAGACCACAAAGTTTAACAAGATAAGGTAATGGCAGAGGAAAACATCACCTTTTTAGCAGGTTCTGGGTTGATTGATGAGGAACTTTCATTGTCTTCTTTGGTTGTGAAGCAGGCTCAGTAGATGTACTTGCCCTATTAGGACAAGATCTGCTGGTATGGTTACCTCCTTTGCACAATCTGCAATTGTAGGTCATTGTGCCTGTCCTAGATAACCTCTGAATCCCTTTTTTATCTTTCCTAATCAGCAATTTCTTTAGCTCTTCCTCAGTCTTTTTCCTTGCCTTTGGAGGCCTTCCAGGAAGATTGACTTTTTCAGGGGGAACCACATCTGGATTTGATGTTCTTCCCCACAGTTCAGGTCCATTGTGGGATAAATGACATACTTGTATGCATTTTCATAATTTTCCTTGGAGTAATACTCATGCACAAAATCATCAACTTCCTCACCTATCAAGGCAATTGATGCAAAATTATGGGGGCAAGGCAGGCCAGTCAACATCCAACGCCTACATTCACATGTCCTGTCCTTTAAATTAACGAATATTGTTCATTCCATTTTGTGTTAACCTAAAAAGACAAATCTCGAGTGTCTAGCCCAGCTGTGTCGTGCTTCTTCCTTAAGTTTTTCAATTTTCTTCCTCACCTTTGGGCCAAAACGATCTTTAAGACGTGATATCATTTCTCTTTTCTTCTGGTGTCTATCTGAAAATAACATTCACACACATTCAAGCAAGCTGTAAAAAGGTTTGGATCTCGTCGGAAGCAAAACTCTGTTAAAACTCTCACAAATATTGTTAACCAAAATATCACACGTTGCCAAGAAGTTAAAGAATGCCCTACTCCAGTTTCATGCATCTGTGTGACCTGCCAGCCATGCAACAGCCTCAGGCTCGAGGAGTCTCAATTCTTCGATAATTGCTTTGTACTTTGCAGGATATGTTGCCCTAGCTGCCTCCATATTTTATCTTTCAGAATAGGGCTTGGGAAAGTTGTTTTGAAGTTGTTGTGCATATGCCAAACACAAGTCCTGTGTTCAGCATACCTAACACAAGTGTGTAAGGCATTAATCAGCCCCTGCATTAATGTAAAGGACTACACAGTTCATACCAAAAAGTAAAGGACTAAAAAGTACACATAAGAAAAAGCATGCCTATAAAAGTTCACTAGCTAGAAATTCATACCTTCTGCTTGTCTGTTATAAAGGTCCACTGGCTAGAATCCTTGATATTCAGGTCAATCTGAACGTTTCTTACAAACCAAGTCCATGTAGTAGTGTTTTCGCTCAAGACGACAGCAAAAGCAATTGGGTATATTTGGTCATTTGGATCAAGTCCAATTGCTGTGAGCAAAATACCCTTCACAGGCCCCTTTAGATGGCATCCATCAAGCCCAACAATACGTTGACATGATTCCCAGAAACCCCTCTTGCAAGCTTCATAGCAAATGTATATCCCATTAAACTTTTCAGTGCCATCTTCTTGCTCCACCGTGTCAAGATCCACAGTTGACCCTGGGTTGGTTCTCAACAATTCCGCCTTATAATCATGTATTCTCTTGTACTGATCCATGATATCACCTTCAATCAATTCAATGGCCCGCAGCTTTGTATTCTCAACCAGACACTGTGACGGAGTGAATTGTAATACACCGTGAATCTTTTCTTGGAGCTGGGCAATTGTCATTGTGGGAGTAATACGAATGTCCTCCTTGAACAGTTTTGCTAGGTACTTGGATGAAGCACAATTGTGGTTACTGGTTGCACCACCACATCTGTGCTTCTTCATCAACTTTGTCACCTGTCATTCCTGACATTTTGGTCTCCAAGTGATTCTGACAGTCCACAAACAATTGCCACTGCCACCTTTACAAATTGCTTTGCACGTTTCGCAATCATTTTTCTTGAAACGTATCTTCTTCTCATCTTTGACTCTACGATGCTTGGCCACTTCTTGGAACTCTTGTTTTGAACAAAAGCGCAACCCGATTTCCCATTTTGGGTTGTCATAATCTGTTGCTGCATTGTACCTTCTGAACTTTGGTCTTGCAGCCCGAACACCACCATCTGTTTCAGATCTTGCATCATCACTTCCAAACTCCTCACTCCCATATCCATCGTTAGATTCTTCTCCACTACCATCACTTTCTCCTTCATTGGGCTTTCCATGAATTTTTTCCTCTAAATTTTCCAATATCTTGGACCATTCCTGCATTCTATCCTTCATAATCTCTTCCATTACATCATCATCAAGCTCATAGTCACTATCAGGCATTTCTTTACTTCCATTTGGCTCCACTTCTTCCGTTTCCTCAACACCTCCCGGGTTGCCATATCCATCTCTACTGTCAACTTTTCTCTTTCCCTTTGCTTTTTCCCTTCTATATTCTTCATCTTGATTGACACCATTGGCTTTAGTCTTCTCCTTTGCTTTGCATCGTCTGTAAGATTTGTCAGTCCCATGTTCAGTACCACAACATTTCATATTCTTTATTTTTCTCTTCAAATTTCGTTTTTCCACCATCTTATCACATAGGTCATCTTTTCTTTTTCCTTTTATACTTCCAGATTTGTTCACTGTGTCATAAGCTGACTGACCATCCTTGTCACAATGTTGTGCATCATCACCAACTGTGGCATTGCCTTCATCAACTTCAACATGTTCTGCCCTAGCACCTGATTTCTCACAAGGTTGTACTTGATCACCATTGTCGGCATTTACTTTCCTACCTTTACCATCAGTTGGTTCATCCAAATCACTGCAACCAATTATATGATCTACACCACATCTTGGAAATTTTTTCAAAATTTCTATCTCTAGAGGTTCATCACTATCATCTATATCAACCAACGAAAAAATATTACTATTCACCTTTTCTTTCACCTTCGATCGTGGACTTATAGCTCCTCTCTTCAACGTTTTCCTTTCTAGAATCACAGGATCTTTTATTTTTGAAAACTTAACAGTTGCCACCTTCATCCTTGCAGGTATCCTAGGTGAGAGACTATTCTTATGAGTAGATTCCATCTTCTAAGGTATTGTTGATATTGTTCTTGTGTAGGCTGACTGATAGGAATTTCAAGGTCAGCATCCTCACCTGCATCACTATGGACAACAAACAGATCCACCAAAGTTTCTTTCAAACCAAGTGCCGCCATTTTATTCGCAGAATCGTTACAAAATAAAAGAAACAACCCTTCATCAATGCCCTTGCCAGGTTGTAGGTAGTAGTAACTTAATTTCGCAGCAACAAGACCCAACTTCGTCACAGCAAAATCGTCCACTTCTATTTTGGACCAGTAGTCTGGATCACATTTGTAAATGGCAGACACTTCTCCACCTTTGTACTGCCGCCTTGGTGGATTTGTGAGAAACCTATTAAAGTGAATCCTCACTGTAAATAGACCATCTGCAGAAACCGATGAATTCGTAAGAAACAATTCCATCAGTAACAAATTGCCCAGTAACCCTAATTATCAAACTATTTTAGTCCTTTACAAATAGTGCCACTAACCCTAATTTTAATACTCCCTCCATTCCAAAATAAGTGTTGTTTTAGCAAAATAGAGAAATTCCAAAATAAGTGTTGTTCTCACATTTCAATGCACTTTTTGTCAAAAGTTTCCAAAATTACCCTCAAAAGAGTTGATGCTATTGGTGGTCAATTTTATAATGGGGTTAGTTGAGGATATTCAAGTAATTTTATTACCCTATTTAAGAGTTTCTTAAACTATGTGCAAAGTGTAGGACGACACTTATTTTGGAATGGAGGGAGTACTATTTTGGTCCTTTACAAATACAACCAGCAACCCTAATTTTTAAACTATTTTAGTCCTTTACAATTAGTCACCACAACCCTAATTTAGTAACTTTTTTAGTCCTTTACAAATAGCGGCTGTAACCCTAATTTAGTTGACTATTTTAGTCCTTGGCATTTGTATTACAACAGAAATACTATACACACACCATTGACGCACATGACCAGTACTATAATCGCCACACGTGCTCATAGATCCAACACAATCAACCTTTTTTCAGACAATGGAGCCAGATTCAGTCATACCCATTTCAAAAATCACTGGTTTCGACCGACAACGACTAAAAAGGACAAAAAGATAGAACCTTTTTTCCTTGAAAACCAGTAAACAATAGTCCCCCACATGACTCGAACAGTATAAAGACAACACCAAATAATTTATCTCCCCCACAAATTGCAGATCTACAGAAAAATTTATTATTAAACAATATCTCACCAGTACGATTCTTCTGGGGCTTGATGCTTGCAATATTTTTCTTCGTTCGCAATAGTCGGAGCACAGCAGATTCCGTCGATTCGCCCACAGCAGATTCCGTCGATTCGCCCATCGATTTCACCGCAGCATAACTCTTCGAAGCAGATCCTTCAAAGCTTTAGCGCATGTTTTATTTCTTTTGGTTGGATTGCGACGTCTCCGGTGGAGACGACGATGGCGGAGACGACGATAGTGTGCAGGAGTTCACCGTTTTTGAAATGGGAATTTTGACCGAAGAGAGAAGAAAAAAAATACGACTGAATAAATATTCAAGGGTAAAGAAAAAAATTGGTGTGGGCCCCACAAGATAAAAAGTCAAATCAGGTAAAAAAAAAATTTTGAATGGGGCCCATGGGTAAAAACTAAAATTCAGATTTTGGATTTTTAAATTTTTTAATTTTTTAATAATATTATATTTGAATTTTGAATTTTGAATTTTGAATTTTAAATAATAAATTATAAATTAATATAATATATTTATTATTAATTTAATACATTTTTTATTTTTAATATATTTTAAAAATATGATAACTATGAGTTACCGAAAATGCCCCTGTTGACTTGACCAGGAATTGGTCAGCCCGAGAACTCACAAATATAAAGGGCCAAAAAAGGTAAAAAGGACTAAATTAGTTGAAATGAAAAATGTAAAGGACCATATGAGTGAGTTTTTAATGTAAATGACCAAATTAATTTTTTGGCCAAATGTAAGGGACTTTTTGAGCAGATTACTCTTTGTAGAGACTAACAAATGCTAAAGTTAAATAAATAAACGATATGATCTTCACAAAGCATGATTATTAAATATAAACATTTTATGATAATCACCAACTTAATTACATACAAATATACGTGAAGAAATATGAGTTGATGGCTGTCATTTTACATATAAATATAACAGTTTCAAGTAGTCCCATATGGACCAACAAGAAAATCCAAAGATAAAATTATAGCGGAATTTTTCAGGGTGAATAAATACGTTGGAAGAATGTGAAAAAGTTTTAAGTCTTTGCCATCTCTATGTGGATGTTATAGGCAACCATTATGGAAGTGGACACGTATTAAAAATCGTGTACTCCCTCCATTCTAAAATAATTGTCTATTTTGAATTTTTAGTTTTATTGCAATTTGTACTAAAAATAAAATTCCAAACCACACAATTATTTGAGTCCTCTTGATTAGTTTTACCATACCTAATTGGTGTAGTTGAAGTAGCTTTGAAACTTTAATATTCTTGTTATAGTACTACTTAACCAAACAAGAAGAATGCAATGATATTTATACTTGTTTTATTAGTTATTGGATTGTATCTAACCGAATCAAAAATATACTACTTTCTTTGTGTTTTTGCCAAAGATCTACATCTTAGGTTGTAGTGTTGATTTGTACTTCTGCCATTGGATTGTTGTGGCTGTGTTTGTGGTTTATCTTTGGAGTTTTGGTACGGCTGTATAACATTCCTACTCATCTTCAAGATCAAGAAATGCTCAGCGCCGGCAATCTCAGATATTTACCATTCAGATGTAGTCTGATTTTGTTTTTTTTTTTTTTTTTTTAAGTAAGAACCTTAACTTCCTATTCTATCTGGAATTAAAAATTACTTAATTGAAATTTGCAGTATCGAAATTTTGGAGGATAAAACCATTATCTTTTGAATCTGGCTATCCATAAACGAAAAATCTACCCGGGTGAATTAGAGATTAGTTTTAGTGTGGTATTCCTCAATTCAAGAGTTAAGATCTCATCGTTTATGTTTTGGATATCTGGTAATAGTCATTCTGTCCTTGCATGTTTAGCTCAGTGATTTAATCATCCAGTTGATACATTCGTTTTCTGTTCCAGAGGGATGAGCAAGCTGCCACTCAAGCAGCTTTTGCTGCCATTCCCCGACAAGCGATCCACCAGTCCGGAGATCCAAAACAGTCATGATCTGTTTCCCATTAACCAAAGGCTTAACTTTCCAAATTTCGTCTAAGCCTTGTCTCAGAATCCAATCTTCAACTACCTTATACAACTGTTGAGCAGAGTGAATATCTGCACTACTCAAGACCATAGACAGTACCAATGCAAGCCGCCAGTTATCTTTCATGTCTCCAAGGAGAGCAACCCAACCAGTATTCTGATCTTTTTAGCAGCGCAAAATCAACATCAATAAACTGCCTCTCGTCCTTTGACGCGATACAATCTATCAGAGGAATAAATTTTTTGAGTTGCAATATGCAACTTTACGACAGTTTCAGCATCACTTAATTTCATCTTGAGAGAATTGACAGACCACAGGAACCCTTCGAGTTTTGTTGTCTTTGTATACCATCCCTCTGAATGGAAGGAATAAAGCAGCATACAGACACAGCCTCCGCTGTTTAATTGTGAAAGAACAGTCAATTGTTTGCAAAAGTCTCCATGCAAAGCGCATGTTAGCAACACATAATATCTCATATCCGTCTGAAATTCCAGGCTCAAATGACACAGGAAGAGTGAAAACAGTCCCAAACAACTTCAAATCGGAAATACAGGTCATTGCTTTTACTGGTTCATGGCCAGATACAATGAGATCTACTTCATGGCCCATACGTTCTCTGGAAATCTTTTCATCCATAGAAATTCTGACTTCACGGTAAGAAGCAGCTGTCTTCAAATCATCATTTAGTTCAAAACCAAGTCGTGCCCCAAAGCGTATGGCACGAAGAACACGCAGGGGATCATCCAAAAATGTTTTCTTGGGAGGTAATGGGGTGACTATTCTTCTGGACAACAACAAACCCACGATTCCTCTTCTAGTAAAGTCTTCAATGGAATCATCATGAATGTTATAGAACAAACTGTTAATGGTCAAGTCCCTTCGATATGCATCAACCTTTGGGGTGCCAATTTCCACCATTGTTGGAATACGGCTACTTTTAGAGTAACCTTCAGATCAGAGGTGGGCAACATCAATCCACACATCCAACAAGAACATTCTAGCTGTTTCCAAGTGCTTTGACTGATCAGGGTTGCTGCAAGCAAATTCAACTTACAAGACAGAAGATATATGTTGTGTGTGTGTTTGTGTGTTTGTGTGTGATTACAAGTTCATGTTCCAAGAATTTAAAGAGTCCTTTTCACCGCTCACATCCCTTAGACTTAAGTGCAAGGTTCAATATCATCACTTTCTCCTAGCTATTGACGCCTGCCATTGCTTATGATATAATCTTTGGGTAAAAAAAGGTGAAGTAACAGAAAGAACATCCATTGGGGTGAAAATTCCAGATAGCATGAGTCCAAGGAACATGTGATCAGAAAGAACATGAGATAAGAAAATTTTGGAGAAAAATACCTGATCCCGGACCCAACCACCGGCTACGCGGATCTTAGTTTTGAGGTTATAATGGCGGAGGACTGTAAGTAACAAAGTAAAAATCTAAGTCAAATCAAGACAGGGTTTCACGGAGAGGGGCGACTGAGATAATGGAGAAGAGTCCGCCTGCCATTGCTATGTAGCAGACTGAAGTTGCCATAATGAACCTGGAGGGAGGGACAAAAACCCCGCAAAGATTAGCTAAAACCAAAACACGAATTGACATCAATGGGTGCAGTTACGTACTTACTGCAGTTATATGCTAAACAGAAATATATAATTCAACAGCCAAGCAAAACATTTGACATTAAGCTAGCCTATTGGTGCACAGACTTGATCTCCAATTGAAAACCCAATCATTCTTTTGATAGTATTAGACAGAAAGACCATTGTTTTCAACGAGCTAATTCTTGTTTATGGATATTAGACACAAGAATTGAACCAACAGAACCCATGAATATGCTAAGAAGGACTGAAGAAGCATTTTTTTTAAGTTTCAATTTTCGATTTTTAACTGTTTTTATGCAACTTGACCCTTGTGCAATTGATCTAAAACCAGATACGCAAAGTGGGATCACTTTAATCAGAGGGAATACGAAGTTGAAACAAAGGTCGAACACACAAAATCTGGAAAAATTATTGGGTACTGCTGTTATATCCTGATTTTTAGTACAACAAGTACTAGCACCCCCTATTTTGGTGGTATAACTCCCGTAGAAATTATCTCTTTCCTTCCAAAATTACTACTTTACCCAATTATTATATTTGGCTGCACAATCATACGTGGTACAGCAGCTGCACTAAATAATTTTCTTTCCTCAGAGCAACTGCAGGTGGCCTTTTTCTGGTTTTTCAGAACTTTAAAAGGGGTTTTCCGGCCCGAGTTTACCGCCAACCGTGCAAAACTCAGAAAACCCGCCCTAGTTATATTCATCAAGAATTACGGTTTAGAAGTAGAAAAATAGTAGAAACTATCATTATTGTGATGGGTAAAAAAAAAAAAAGATTTATTTCAAAGCAGAAAGAACCCACCAATTGTTAATCATCAACATCATATATATAATTGTAGAATTTTGTTTTATTATTTTTAATTGGCCATCCATCCTTATGCATTAACTTCGTTTTCTACCTCTCTCTTTTTATGCATTAACTTTAATTTTTCTTTTTCTTTTTCTTTTCGTCCGTAAAATTTAGGTGTTCGGTAAAAACAAAAGTAAAAAGTGAACAAAAAAATAAAAAGACTTAAAAGCAATTTAGAAGTTATTGATTGCAAAAAATAATTATTAAGTGAATTTGGTAAGTCGCATATATATATATAACAATATCAAGTTTTATCAATTTTATAACAAGCTGAATTCCTGATTTCCTTTTCTTCTTCTTTAAATTAATGATTACATGAACTAAAATTGAAGACAATAATTTTGAGACAGAAAAAATACAAAATAGGAACAAGTTGATCTAACTCTACACTATGGTTAAAACCCTAGTAGCCGCCATCTCTCTCTTTTCTCTCAAACCCCAACTCCAAAAGATAATTCTTCCCCATCTTCTCATCATGGGAGGATAGAGAATTAATCTTGTTTCGTTTCTCGTTTCTATTCTCTGTCATTTAATAAGTTAGATTATTCTCACAAATTAATTTCGAGTTTTAGTCCTTCAATAGATTATTTTGATAAATAATCTATTGAGAGAATAGGGTTTTTCTAGTTTGCAGTGTTCTTTCAGTGGATTACTCTACTGAGAGATAGGTCTGTTGATTGCAGTGTTCGTAGCGGTGTTGAATATATTCGCAACGTTACATGTGCCCCATGAAGAATCAGTCACCGCAGATCTAATTTTTAAATATGTAATTTGGAGTTTTCAACAGAATTTTAGAGATATATTCGAGATCAGATTTATACTCTGGTACGTATATGTCCGTCAATCATACGGGTAGATCTGTATAGGTTTATCCGTAGTAAACACAACAAAGTGATGTTGTAAGTTATGTTTGACTGTTTTTTTTGTATTATTCAATCACAGTTGGACGATTTTAAATGAATGAAAGTATTATTTTATTTTTAAAAAAAAAACTCTACGCTATGGTTACAACTTACAAGAGCACAAATCCAACACATTAACATATTTTAAATTTTCTTTTTTGGTACAATAAAGTATGCAATTTAAAACATAATGCGGATCCAAATTTCCAACTTGAAATGTGGTGATTGAAACAAAAGTGAAATCAACAGTACTTCTCAAAATTGCAATACAATATTGATTGATTGACAATTCAAGCAAAAGATTTGTGTTTAGGCTTAAGAAGCACTTCTTGGATCAATTTATCCAGATTTGTATATGAAGATCCTACACCAGGATTTATTGCTTCTTCAGCTTTGTTCTTCCACTCCAATGTTCTCTTCTTGAGTTCCTTACCTTTGTCTCCCTCAATCAAATCCCTTACCACTTTCTCCACCTCTACCCTATCCACATTGTTACCAATTTCCACACCCACACCCCAATAAGAGCAACAATAGAGACAATTCATTGGTTGATCGGCGAAAAATGGCCAGCAAATCAATGGCACTCCAGCTGACAAGCTTTCAAGAACTGAATTCCACCCACAATGTGTTAAAAAGACACCGATAGATGGATGATTAAGAACAAGCTCTTGATTGCACCATGTCGATATCATTCCTCGATTTTTTGTAGCTTCAATGAATTCAGGTGGAAGTATTGCACCTTCAGGGACAAGATCAGGCCTAATGATCCATAGAAAGTTATGCATGCTGTTAGCAAGCCCCCATGCAAACTCAATTAATTGATCTTTTGTCATTACTGTTATGCTACCAAAGTTTACATAAGCAACTGATCCTTTCTCCTTGGAATTGAGCCATTCAATGCAACTATCATCTTCTTTCCATAGATTAGATTGGATGGATTCAAAAGTAATATGATCTTCAGGACCCTGAATTTCTCTCAGTAGTAAGTGCATTGGTCCAATAGGGTACAAGTGATCAACCAATAAGGAATAATGTTTCAAAACCTCATATTCCAAGCTACCAAATGTATTTATAATGAGGGCAGAACCCTTGAGGGTTTTTGGTACTAAGTTTATCATGTACTCTATAAATGGATCATTAGGTTCAAAACTCCAAACTATTGCCAAATCGCGCAAGCGAATACTTTCGATTCCAGGAATAAAATCAATAGTCTGATCCAAGTAACCATTTTGTAAGTAACTCAAGTCTGTTTAAAACATAGAAGAAAAACTCATGTCAATCTAATGTGTTTAATGTGTCCATCTTAGAGGTCGAGAATTCGAACCCTACATGAAAGGGTTAAAAAAATAATAATAATAATAATAAATCATACCTTTAAGTGGTGCATAACCTTGCTTTACAAGGTTTGGATATTGCAAAGTGCACATGGCTGAAATTGCATTAACTGTCCAAATCTGTGCATTTGGTATTCCTAATTCTTCAGAAGCTTCAAGGGTAAATGCCATGCAACAATCCGATAAAATGCAAGTCACAGGAGGAAAATCATCATCAGTTAATGCCTTGGCATTAAGGTTTTTGAGGAGTTGGAGGAAAGGGGCATGGCAGTTTTTATCAGTTGACATGCAAAGCTGGAAAACATCTTGAGAAGCCTCATCATTTTCCAATGGTGGGAGGCCATCTGGGATGGTCTCGAATCTGAAATTTGTTGCTCCATCCAAAGAGTTTGGACCTCTTGATTTCAGTATCCGGTTGTAGTTATACTCAGTGTGAACAAAAGTGATGTGAAATCCTTTGCAGTGGAGTATTTTGGCAAACTTTAACATGGCATTAACATGACTTTGAGCTGGAAATGGGATGCAAACAGCATGAGGCTTCTTGATTAGTTTTCCCATACCTACTAATGGGATGTAGTTGAAGTAGCTTTGAACTTTAATCTTCTTGTTATATACTACTTAACCAAACAAGAAGAATGCAATGATATTTATACTTGTTTTATTAGTTCTTTGATTATATCTAACCGAATCAAAAAGATACTACTTTGTTTGTGTTTTTGCCAAAGATCTACATCTTAGGTTGTAGTGTTGATTTGTACTTCTGCCATTGGATTGTTCTGGCTGTGTTTGTAGTTTATCTTTGGAGTTTTGGTACGGCTGTATAACATTCCTAGTCATCTTCTAGATCAAGAAATGCTCAGTGCCGGCAATCTCAGATATTTACCATTCAGATGTAATCTGATTTGATTTTTTAATTTTTTTTTTTTTTAAGTAAGAACCTTAACTTCCTATTCTATCTGGAAATTATGTACTCCTTCTGTCCCAAAATTATTGTCCACTTTAAAATTTCATTTTTAATACAATTTGTACTAAAAATGAAAACCCAAACTGAACAATAATTATGAGACGGAGAGAGTAATTAAAATTTGCAGAATCGAAATTTTGGAGGATAATAACCATTATCTTTTGAATCTAGCTATCCATAAAGGAAAGATCTACCGGGGTGAATTAGAGATTAGTTTTAGTATGGTATTCCTCAATTCAAGAGTTTAGACCTTATCGTTTATGTACGCAAAGAAAAAGTTGAAAAAATCCATGGGATAACTACATGTACAACAATTTCTTCGAGTCCCAATTTCGTCTTGAGAGTTTTCACCACAGAGAGAAAAGGAGAGAGGAGAGTGAGAGAGACAAAAGGATGTTGAAAATTGGTTAAATAAGAATTTTGACGTTCCAGAAATTAGAATCTTTGATACACTCCAGTCCTGAGCCTATCTAGGACTTTTGTTTTCCATTCAATAGATACATTCCAGTCCTACAAAGAGGCATGAAGGAGAACTGGCTCATACCCCGAATGCAACTCTTTGTACAAAATCTGGGCGTCTTTTGGAAGGCATCCTTAGCAATCCTGTAATTTGCAACTCCGAGATGGCCCTGCAGAACCGTGCTCTGTACATGGCTAAGGATACTAAAGTGACAAGTCACATCATTAGAGTACAAATCTAATCATAAAGAAAGATTTCAACTGATAACAGAGAGGATTATCAGCAAAACATAGTACTAGTTTCACGTTCATAAATGACAGCATAGATAATAATGTTAATGGCGATGTGATTGTGTTTTGATAAAATGTCATGGATGATTAGAGATATAGTTATGAGAAAACATGATTCTGAATGCAACATAATGTGGATTATATGAATGGGAAGGATACTGAATTGATGCATCACTGATATTCTGGGGGTCAGCGGAGACTTTTCTCTTCTTTGGTGATGACGACTTCAACTTGGTTTTGTTTCCCGTGCCTGAGTGAGAGATTGTTGTTTTAAAAGATTGATACCAGTTGTGAAGATTGATAAGGTCGCCATGTTCTTGAGCTAAGCCATACCTGAGAGAAAGGACAAAATTTGCATATTTCAACCATTTTTTTCACCCATAATCTGCGTTATCTGAGTGGCTTGATTATTTAGAAACGCCAAAAACTACTAATCTATAAATTGATCGGCAAATGTAGATACACTTCAATAGCCGTATATACGACTTAAAAGAAAATGACAATAAAATTCTTACATTATTGCAGTATCATGCGTAGATGGCACAGATGCACCTTCATTTCTACTGCAGCATTTGCATTTAAGGAACTTTTGAGACTCTAAAAGATCAATTTGGATTCTTCTTCTTGGATCTCCCATCAAGGCCTATAACCAACCACCATTGGAACAGTTAGCTATGAGATTTGCTGTCACATTTTAATCACATATCTAGATTTGAGACAAAATAAGTAAGAGAAAATCTAAATATTGCTCTCTATTTTAAGTTTAGAAGCAGATAACCAAAAGTAGAGCTATTAAAACCTATTCTTCAACTGTCAGTGAAAGAACATGGCAGATAGAGTAGTTCTGTGTGAGAATCCAGAGCAATATCAACTAGGACTATTGTTGTCCAGCTGTGAGATTGAAGTTGTCAGACAATCAGTTACGGTGTAAACTTAAAAGGCTGCCTTTCGAGTTGCATATTTTACTGGATTTTTCAACCAGGTATAAGCCAGGGAGCTAGAGCACATAAATTCAAAGCAATGCTAATTTCAAACTTTAGACTCATCAGAATGTAAAGGGGTAGACATCTTCTGTACAAAAGCAAGGGGGGGAAATCACTTGTTGTGATGGATGGCTCTAAGATTGCACAAAGATACTCCCGGATCAACATTAACAGGCAAAATGGGGTGACAATTTGGGTTCTAGTATAATTATAGCATTCTTTTTCCCTTATGGAGCTGGCACTAGACACACAAACTGTATTATCATAAACCAGTTAAAAACATCAAGAGGAAAGTAATATCACTGGGACAACCCTTTTCTTACATTTAGAATGCATTCACCGAAATCTTATCTGCTCTTAAATAAGTAACAGTTACAGACTTAACATTCAGAACACTTGGAACTTAACATTGGGTAACTGAAAATTGGACAGGTTCATAATGTTCAATGAAGTGTTAAAATATTGGAAAAAAAATCCTACAGAAACAGGCAGCCAACTTTATGAAAACTGAAGTATTTGTGAAAATTGGTTGCAGTTTGACGCAATTGTTATTCAAACCAAATTAAAAACAATGATTCATTTACAAAACAGCCAAAGAGGATTGTGTGGGTAAACACCACCACAAACTTAGACGTTGGTAATTCCAACTAGTTGGCTGATTTAGTCACAGAACATGCGCTATCATTTCAGGGTCTGTACTGGCAGCATCTAGATAAGAACAATACATTAAATGAATCTCAGCAAACTTAACTGATTGAAGTTCTTCAACATTGTTGAACTGGATCAGTTCGTGCAAAGGAAAACATTCCACTGGCTGCATGTATTCCCTGTTGCACAAAAAAGATTATTGGACCATCAATCAATATGTAGGCAGAATCCGTGATAAGCAACTCCGTAAAAAAGTACAAGCCTTCACATCACTTCGAACCATGCTCAACCATTCATAGAAAGGAACATGAAATCAAGCTACTCAACAAATATCTTTTAGAACATAAGAAGGAAAAGGGAGACATGAAAAATGAAATGCTACACCTACTTCATCAAACAGCCTGCTAATCTGGCAGCTTTCTCATTGAAGTTGACTGAATCTTTTTCAGCAATTATATTTCCGCGAGTTGTACGCCTCCTGAGACAAGAGTTAGAACATGATGTCAATTTACTGATGGTTAAATTCCATTTCTTGAATAAGTAACTCCTTAAAGACCTTGTCAGAAAAGCTGGAAAAGTTGGAGGAAAAGAATGAGCCGAGCAATAGCTTTCTAAAGACTAGCATGTGAAGGAAAAAGTGTCAATCTCCTGCTCCAATAAACCATGTTGATTGTGTCCATTTGATTTGCATTTAAAATTTCATTCTGTATGTGACAAATCATTTGGTGACAGAATCAAGTAGAATTATTCTTTGGGCTTTAAGCTTTGTTTTCCTTAACATTTCACATAAGTTATTCATACAAACATGCACAGGTATGAATCATGGGAAGTCCCACAAGTCGTAGACTCCTTGTGGGCTCTTCTAGCAACTAAAGAAAAATTCAAAGGTTGTATTATTTATCATTGTGAAGCAAATTCTGGATGTTACAAGAACCGCCAGGCATACAATCTAGGTGGAAGCATTCTGATGAAGTGATAAACAATATATCTCCCAACTTGGGGAATGTGACACCAAGGGATGTTGCCGCTATTATCATAAAAAAGATCTCTTGGAATTTTATTTGCAGATTCAAAGAGATCGAAAGAAACTCTTCATTAGGAGTTTAGCTGATTCAAATAGAGGCTTGGAATTTTGCCACTATTATTCATCAGGAGTTGCGATCGAAAGGAACTATGCGTTACTATTATCATAAACTAGAACTCTTGGAATTTTTCTGCAAAAGCCAGACTTCCCTTATTTTCCTTCTCACAGTTTAGGATAGCATCAGAAAAGTGAATATCAGAAAGGAAACAAGAATATGTAATAAAAACACTTCTGATCCACAAAGTAAGAGGCAAGTCAATATAATACTTAAAACTGGAATATCAAGGAGAAACATACTTGGAGATATCTGGTGCATGCATAGGCAAAGCCTTTATGTCCACAGTGCTCATAGACACCTTCAAACCTTTGATTTTCTCCTGAACCTAAGTAGTAGGGACACAATCAGCTCAAAGATGTACAGGCACCAACTAATATAAATGGGAAAAAAAACAAGAAGAGTAATCATTAGTTTGCACATAAACTGGATTTGCATAGTTCTCAGCTATGAGAATGCAACTCAGAGTTTAACGGTGACATATAGAACCAAGAAGTTTTGCCACGCAATTAGCCTTTGTAGGTGGTAATTGCACTTTACACAAGTTCTGTGTTCAGTCACCATAGGGATTATGATAACTTGGGCAAAATAAAACTTTATTCAACAATTTCAGATATTCCCTTCTTTTTCAAGAGTCATTAACCCTATGAAAAACCACCAATGCAACTTGAGATTGCTTGAAACGGAGCAATGAAAAAAAGCATACCTCAGTTATGCCTTCTGTCAGTTCCTCCCACTTTATCAACAACTCGTGTAATTCCAAAGGTGATAGATCCCTGAGTATGCAACTGAACAGAGTAATGAAAACATATTGTAACCAAATGAATTCAAGTTACATATTCTTTAAACCAACATTTTCCTTGAAAGAGTCTCAGAATTTGTTGCAGCATAAGTTACACATTGTTGGGCTATTATCTACATTCCGAACATTTTAAGTACAACAAAATGTATTTGTCAGATCACACACTAATCCACATAAGATAGAAATATCTTCATTTTAAGAGCTATTGCAGTAGAAAATGAAAAGTTGAATTTGGAGATAAGAGAACTACTACTGTTAGCTTCACATAGCTTCCTTCTGTATAAAATTCTCTTGCCTGACTTTAGTTTCAAACATTAATTAATCATATATGCTAATATTGGAGGCTAAAGAGCTTCAAAAATGAATATGAAAACTTTCAAGAAAGAAAACTTAGTTTCTTGGGCTTACATTCTATTCTGCTAATAAACTATGTACCTTGACTTCCAACTCCTAGGGCAGTTATGCAAATAAAATGGTTCGGAATTTGTGTACATTTAGGTACATAATTAGAAAAAGAAGTACTGAATCGGAAATAGTGCATTTAAGGTGCCTATGATTAGGGTGTTGATTTATTAACCCATCATATGTTTAATGTTCAATGAAGGTGCCTATGATTCCTCAAATCTGCACTCTGTAGGCCCTGCCTGTAATGTTTCTTGATGAAACTTTGTTTAAGCTAGGCTAAAGTCCATGTGATATGCATGCAAATATTATAAGAGGATGTAAGCTGCAGAGTAGACCTAAAGAGTACAGAATATGGGCAACTTTCTGTCATTTCGGAAAGCTATATAAGACTTCAGTTAGCATACAATCGTCAGAGGTGAGACATGACTTTGCGAGCAAAAAGGAGAGGCACAATAAATTGGCCAAGGACACTGGTATGATGAACAGAACCCAGACATTCCTTGAGAATATCAATTAAATGCACACTTTACAGCAAAAAGGGACCACGATAGCCTACCTTAACCGACAGATTGCTTGACAGACAGAACCACATTTCTGCAAGCAAGAATGCTGTCCGAGCATACAATGAGAGGTAGAAGATGTGCTACCATTATGTTCCCACTCAATCTTGCTTGATGTTCCAGATTTGTTTGGCTGAGGATTAAGAATCTCACAATATACTTCTAGCAGTGTAGCTTTGGTATATTTTAAAGCTTCAGAAATACACTGCAAAACGTAAATTTTTCAGAAATGAGACTTTATTTTTTCAGCCAAATTTTGAGCAGAATGTAAGCAACAAAGATTCAGATAATTAGTAAACATAGACACACTGAGATGAGAAAGTGATATTAAAAATACCAAAACCCTCTACACGCAAACAAAATGAGAAAAGTTCACACCAAAAGCCAGCACAGAACGAAGAACACTGAAAAACCAAAGGAGATGTCAAATGCCACCACAGAAAGAACAGAGCAGAAATTACAGAACCAAAAATGGCTATGTTGTCGGGTGTACTAATAAGCTGTAAGTATATACAATAATCATGTCAGAGATACTGATTGATGAGAGTCACAAGTAAGCTACCAGAGCTACTAGTGAAGCTAGCGCAACAGATAGATTGAAGATGAGAGATCATAAACATAGAGGATATTTGACACACTTCATCTAGATCAAAAGTCCCAAGCTATAAAGGCTGGTTCTGAGAATTGTCAAAAGTACTTCTGAATTTAGAGCTGTGGAAATCTCAGTTTGCAAGATGAGGCAAACTATACAGTTACGAACTGTGGAAATCTCAGAACCAGCCTTTATAGCTAGAGCTGAGGAAATCTCAGTTTGCAAGATGAGGCAAACTATACAGTTACGAACTGTTGAATTTAGACATCACACTGCTATACGTATCAACAGGAGCAAGAAGATAAGTATTGGAGGTAACGGAAGAAAGTTGAGAATTCGGATTACCATAATCAAAGATCTCCACACGGTGAATTGGTTCTGCATTTCACAAAGACCATGACCAATATCACCATCTGGTTCAGCTTGGTTGTTCCTGCCAACATAAAAAGAACACATAGAAACAACTCTTCTTCACATTTTGTGAAAATACAAGTATAATAAGTGATTTCATTTGATACCTCTGGTGATCTGGTAGACCAAAAGCCTGCTTGATAATTCTTTCCTGGAGGGATACAATATTCCCATAGCTCAGCTCCTAGGCCCAGGATAAGGGAAGAAGGAAAAAGAAAAAAAAAAAAGAAGAAGAAGAAGAAGAAGTCGTCATATTAATATTCCTCCTGAAATTTTGGAGTGTTGAAAATTAACGCAAGCAAACAAATCATGTAGAAGTACAGTACAAAATCCTGATTGTAGATTTTCATGATATAATTACCTTTGGTTCAAAATTAAAGTATGCAATCAAATCAAACTGCGGTTGAAGTCCATTATCAAGAAACGGAATTTTATATGTAGATTATTAGAACGACTAAGTGACTAAGAAACTAAAGCAGCAGCAAAACAGCAAGGATTTCTAAAGATTTGGCTTCTAACAATACAATTAATGAAGACTGTGGAGAGAGAAAAAAAAAAAAAAAGAAGAAGACAAATGCCTAATAAACTCATACCAACCAAAAAGTTCAGCAAAACAGATAACCATTCGTTAGGCCACAATAACCAAAAGTAAATGAACATTTAGCAAAACAGGGTCTGTAATATACAACCAGAATAGACAAACTTGAAATGTTCATTACCTGAGGGCACTTTTTCTCCAATGATCTTGACTTTTGAAGGCGTGAAGGATACATGACAAAATGTTGAAAACATGCCATCTGTAACGCCGCAAGTTTATGAGAAAAGGAAATAGCCAAGAGTGCAGAAGGAAACTGTTCGGAGTGTTTTCCACTATTCTGCTTACATGACTGAGCTTCAATAGAGAGTTGCATACCAACCTTTAAAGCTCTCACAAAAGAGGTAAGTGTTCCATCCTGCCTCAAGAAGTATTTTCTCAGGAAAGTTGCCACATCGTGACCCAAGGAGAAACAAGATGCATATTGCACAACAACAGAGGCAATTATTGCATCCATTCTCTCAGTAGGAGACTCCAGAACAAACTTAGAAAGGGACAGATATTGAAGAATGTATGAAGGCAGTATATCTCGTAATGCATCTGCAGTGGTTGTGACTCCCAATACTAGGATGATAGGAACTTTAGTAGCCCATTCACTGTTAAGAGCAGAAATGTAAGAAATACAAAAAGTGAATTAGATAATACCATCGAACCTACTTCAGCAAAGTTAATGATAATATAAAATTTTGAGTTTGTTTTAAGGTGACACTGGTAAACTTATGGCCAGTTAAAAGCTCTAATCACATTTCATGTATTCCTCATAATGTCTAACTCCTAAATCATAGTTATCTGAATAAAATGTTTCCAGAAAATAGAATCATTGTATGAAAATAGGATGACAACTATTCTGCTATTAGGGTGCCTACCAACTACATGTATGGGAAAAATGTTGCAACTCTTTCATGGATGCAGTGGAACCTTAATGCTCAAAAGCCTATGTCAACAAGAGAGCTGAATAGCTACCATACCTTAGTATAATGATGAATTCAGACAGGACTGACTGACAGCACCTCTCCAGACCGTCAATAATAACAATAATTGGTCGTTTACAGCTACCTTGTTCACAATACCAAGAAGCTAAAACTGACATATCAGCAGCCTGGAGAAAATGATTGGTGATGATAAAATTAAGAGGCACTGCGAATGCAAATAGAATTAACGTACACTGGGAAACATACAGAGAGATAGGTTCCTTACATCAATGCTAACTGTTATAAATTGTTGCAACAAATTTAAGAGGCAACCACCAATTCCGTTCTTCAACGAGAAGTCCAAGGAGGAGAGATTAGCAACATGGTGTCCATGAGATTTCAGATGTTCAGCAAGATCCTCGAATGTCAGTATATCATCAACAGATTCCAGATTCTCTAGTTTTGCAAAATCAAATTTTAGCATCTTCAGTACACACTAACAAAATATCATCTCCATCCCACCCACCCACCCAAGCAAGCTTGCACACATGCACAGAGAAACTTAAAGCTAAGCGACACCAGTGATTTGCATCCTTGAGATTTCATAAAAAGGTTGAAATGACTGTCCAATGGTGAAATCTTTAAGGATACTGTTGAGCATAAAAAAGAGTACACAATGCATAGAAACAGGATGATTGTGATAACTGGCACATAACTGCTGCAGCATATGAGGCAGGGAATTGCTAAGATGTTAAAATTCAACCATAAAATACAATAGACAGGAAAGAGACAAGAAGTAGCAATGCTTGGTCAAATTCCAAATATGATAACTGATATAGTAGCTTACTGGTGCAAACAAGACCCGCGAAGATTTGTTTAGAAGATGTGCGATGTTTGGCTGGAACAAGGAGCGGGTATGAACTTGTTATTTGTGTAGGATCAGAAACTGTACACGAAGAAATAACATCAAAGGACTGACGAATCCAGCTATTTATCTTGTCGAATTCACCAGCATTTATATCCCTCAAAACATCCTGAAAAGAAGTAACATTACTCAGCCTAATTTGGACATCTTTAGCCATCTTGTATCTTCTAGTATTTATTAAGAACTGAAGCACCCAACTCTCAGAATTTAGTATAAAACAAGTGAAAATCCAGTGTCCAACCTTGATAGTAGCTTCGATTTTGGACCAAAACAGACGAAAGTTTTGCAATCCCAACTCAAAACAATCAATGGATTCTGTAGTACCATTGTTCTTTTTTGAGAGATCACCTTTCGGGGATGAGTCAATCTTTCTTTTAACTTTTCCACAAATTTTTCGAGCTGGGTGCGAGGCTTTATGGCGAACATAAAAGGTCTACAGAAAAAGCCACAGGATCAATAGAAAGCTTACTTTAACCATACATATATGTGCATTACTAAGTAATTGAAATGTCTATACCTGCAGGCTGTTTTCATCAACGGCCGTTGGACCAGTGGTCTCCATCGGAAGGTAACCACAATCTGCTCCCTTTGCAATTCCAATCAATCCTGAGGACTAAGCTACCTGGACTCGCAGAATACGTACCGGACTCCTTGAGCAAATTCCAGACCCGTTGACTAAATTGGAGGGATTGGGAAAAAAAAATCAAATGAGAAGGGGAGAAGAACAGACATGAAGAAGAAGAAGAAAGCAAGGGAGTCTTGGTTATGCTGAGTCTGTGGCAGAAAGAGTTGTTTCCTGCAGCCAACAATACTACACCATTTAACACTTGTTCTTTCCTCTTAGACTAAGAATCAAACATCTAGCATTCATCCTTAACCACTGCTATACCAATGGATCCCAACCGAACTCCAATAAAATGAAATTAGATTCAAGAAGTTTAACATATCATTCAGAAAGACCGAGCCAAAAATGACATAAATTAGAGCTATAATTGAAAGGTCGGCAACTCAAATACGATACAAAATTAACTCAAAGAACTAAATCTCGAAATCAATGCCAGCGTTAACACGCAATTTAATTAGTATGATTTTGGAGAAACAAGAAGTTTTCAATCGTGACTCACCTAATTGGCCGAATTTGGAGAAAAGTTAGGAGATGCTCAGCTGAAGTGAAGACACATCAGTCGATTAAACGAATGATTTTGTAGGTAGCTAAAATGAACTGCGAGGAAGCATCTCTACGGAGGGTAAAAAGAGAAGAAAAATGGCGGGAAAGCTATGGAGTTGGGCCAGTACCGTTGAGGCCCAAAACTTAAGATATAATAGATGCAATGTGGAGTTGATCATTTTGTTTTTCCATTTTTTTCCTTTTTTAATTATTAAGTATTTAATCTTGAATTACATCTAATCTTTTTTCTTTACTATTTTGGTTTGTTTGGAAACATACAATGAATTGCATCTCTTCTTCTTGGTAAAAAAAGGTAAAAAAAAATAAAAAATAGTAAAGTGTAAAACAATCACATGAATAGAATATCTGGATTATATTCACTTGTATAATATATTATCGTCACAGAACTAATTCCACCATAAATATACTTCACTCTATTTCATGGCATATCATCCTCTACGAAGTAGTGAACACATAACCAACCTATTGAAAAAATTAAGTACTCCCTCCATCCCAAAATTATTGTCCGTTTGGAATTTCATTTTTAGTACAAATTGAACTAAAAGCGAAAATCTAAACTGGACAATAATTTTGGGACAGAAGTAGTATGTAATAGTTGGATATTTTAATGCATTTTATCGCTAATTATATTCCTTTCATTGTCCCATTATACTAGTTCTGTGTATTCAATTAATTCATTTTGAAGTCAAAGCAGTTCTTACAAGAATATTGTAAATAGGATTACAGTAACCTCTATAAAAGTTAAAAAATGAACCCTCCAAAAAAAACATCTGCATTAAAAAATCCTTTTACATAATGAATGTGCAGCTTAATAGTCCTCAATTTGCCCCCCTTTTTTTGGGTTCTTGTTGACTACGAAAAACAAACGTTTAAACAACAAAAAAAAAGACTTAAGATTTAGGCTGAAGAAGCACCTCTTGAATCAACTTGTCCAGATTCAAATATGATGATCCAATACCAGGCTTTATTGCCTCTTTAGCCTTGTTCTTCCATTCCATTGTTTTTATCTTCATTTGCTTACCTTTATCTCCTTCCATCACCTCCTTTACTACTTTCTCCACCTCTACTCTATGCACATTACTGCTAATCTCCATCCCTACACCCCAATGAGAGCAAACACACATACAATTCGTTTGTTGATCGGCGAAAAACGGCCGACAAATCATCGGCACTCCAGCCGTCAAACTCTCCATGATCGAATTCCACCCGCAGTGTGTTAAATACACACCTACTGATGGATGATTCAGTACTAACTCCTGATTGCACCACGTCGAAATCATCCCTCTATCCTTTGTAACATTGACGAATTCAGGCGGAAATAAAGCACCTCCCAAAACATGATCAGGCCTAATGATCCACAAGAAATTTCGCTTGCTGTTAGCGAGTCCCCAAGCTAACTCAACAAATTGATCTTTACTCATAACCGCAATACTACCAAAGTTGACATAGACCACTGATTCTTTCGCCTTCGAATCGAGCCACTCAATGCACCTATCATCTTCTCTCCATAGATTAGATTGAATCGATGAATTGGTTGTAAGATGATGGTCTTCATCTGTTTGAATCATCTCCTTATGTAATAAGTGGATTGGTCCAACTGTGTATAAGTGATCAACCATGGAGGAATATTTATTCAAAACATCAAACTCTAGAGCATCAAAAGTATTTATAATGAGAGCAGATCCCTTTAAGGTTTTCGGGATTAAATCCATAAAACCTTGTACCATTACATCCTGCGAGTCAGTCGTCCAAATAATAGTTGGTATATCGCGCAAACGAATGTTATTGATTCCAGGAATCCAATCAATAGTTTGATCCAAGTACCCATTTTTGAAGTAACTCTCATCTACAAGTAAAAAACACACACACACGCAAATATTTATAATATACAGTGTAACAAAATTAAATTATTTTTATGGGACGAAACGAGAAAACAGAATAAATACCTTTAAGCGGGGCATAACCAAGTTCTTTAAGTCGAGGGTAGTGCAACATACACATAGCTGTACTTGCATTGACGGTCCAAATCAATGCATTTGGTAATTCTAACATTTTAGAAGCTTTAAGAGTAAATGACATGAGACAATCAGATACAATACAAGTCACAGAAGGAGAATCGTCATCAATTAATGCCTTATTGTTGAGATTCTTAAGAAGTTGGAGAAAAGGAGTGTGACAAGTTTTGATAACTGAAATGAAAACATCTCGGGTGTTATCATCGTGTTCATCGGGTGGATGTGGTGGGAGGCCATCTGGGATGGTCTCAAATCGGAAATTCGCCGATCCTTCCAAAGATTTTGGACCCCTTGATTTGAGTGTACGGTTGTAATTGTATTCAGTGTGTACAAAAGTTATGTGAAAACCTTTGTGATTGAGTAATTGGGCAAATTTTAACATGGTGGTTATGTGACTTTGAGCTGGATATGGGATGCAAACAGCATGAGGTTTCTTCACTAGTCTTCCCATGGTTGATATGATTGGTGTTGCAGTTGTTGGAAAAAACTACTACTGTACAAGTTATATATGTGCGGTCGTGTAATGTAATTTCCTTTGAGATTTACATAATCTCCATTCATTAAATATGTGGAGTTATTGTTGTTTGTAACTTTCTGAAATAGCACACCAAATTCTTTACCATATTGTCACCTTCAGCTTTTGATTGTGACATTTATACGATTTGATTAATTAGTTCTCAACATTCAATGTCTACTAGTTACAAAATAAGAGATAAAGATTTAAAATCTAGTCATCGCATGGCTGATATTTAAATGGTTGTAATGACTGTTAGTTTTGATGTAGCTTGTAAGTTCTTAATGACTCCAAACTAACGAAGGAGGGCTCTATTCTTTTTTCTTTATATACAAAAGCAACTCATCAAGAGTGAGTTGAATTAGGGCAGTCTAGAGCCATTTTTTCTAGAGTTTTAACGAGGGGTGTTGACAAAACGTACAACCCTGGTGCATACTGTAGACCTAATTTGGCCAATGAATCTGCTAATTCATTTACCAAGCCAACGCATGTGAGAAATATCTACTGCCCAGTTGCGATTCAAAAATCATTTCAGCCTACCAAGCAGACTACTTAGGCTGGAGGTTGGGCTTTCATCGTAAAGAAGATTCACAACTTGCAAGATGTCCAATTAAAGTTGTATTTTCCTAAAGCCCAAGTCCCATACGATTTTAAAACCAAAATAGACGACCCACAGTTCTGCTTCTAGAACACAGCAGTTGCCCAGATTAGCCACAAATGCAAAAATCCACCGTCCTTCATTGTTTTGTTAAGAACCGAACTGGAAATGGTCTTTTATTAAAGGCAAATGAACCTCACCGATGCCGGAATGACGACGATTCAGTCGGAAGTACAAACGGAGGTATCTCCGGTGATAAAAGAGAGAGAAAAACAGTCACACAAGTCTTATGATATCAGATAATAATCTAGAATGCTCTCTACTAGATATTTATAGCTAGAAAACAAAAGAATCAAAGCGGATCACGTGCAAACCATCAATCCGGCCCACATGTACATGAAACAATTAAATGCGTCTGCTTCCCGCGCCGCGCCAACCTTGCTATAATTCAAATCTTCCACCGACTTCAGATTTGGCGAGCATGACATTCCCCCTCCCTTAAACAATACTTGGCCTCAAGTTGCAATTCCTGGAAACTGTCCCTTGATGAAAGTACAATCTTCCCAGGAAGCATTTTCAACCTCCAACCCTTTCCATTTGATTAGCCACTGGATAATCTGCTGCTGGCCCCTCCAAATGAACCTTCTCTGCAAGACTTGTTCAGGTTCCAGTGCACAGGGTTGAGGATCCTCCAAATCAGGCGACATGGTGATGGTGGAAGGTGGTGGTCCATGGTGTTTTTTGAGTAGAGACACATGGAAAACAGGATGAACTTTAGCACCTTGAGGAAGATCTAACTTATAAGAAACATTTCCCGCCTTTTCCAGCACTTTGAATGGACCAAAGTACCTAAACATGAACTTCAAGCAGCTTTTTGACACCAGTGTTTGTTGTCTATACGGTTGTAATCTCAAATAGACCATTTCACCAACCTGAAAGCATCTTTCATACCTCAATTTATCAGCATACCACTTCATCTTTTCCTGGGCCTTATCCAAATTGTCTTTTAGTTTATGCATGATGATCTGTTGCTGCTGAAGCAGGTCAGCTGCTACTGGAATGACAACATCATTATAAGCTCCCAAAGGAATGCCAGCCGGCTGAAAACCATATAGAGCCTGATACGGAGTCATATCAGCACTAGAATGGAAAGTGGTATTATTCTGCCAGAGCTATCCACTGAGACCAACTGTTTGGAGAGGAATGACAGAAGCATCTCAAATAGCTCACACATTGATTCAACCTTTCTGTTTGCCCATCACTTTGAGGATGATATGCAGTGCTCAAATTCAATGTAACCCCCATATTAGTGAACAAGGCCTGCCAGAAATGACTTGTAAAGATCTTGTCCCTATCAGTGACAATGGACTCAAGCAAACCATGTAACTTATATATCTCCTTTATAAACTTCTCATCCACTTCCTTGGCAGTAAAGGGATGCCTCAATGGTATGAAATGACTATATTTTGTCAACCTGTCAACTACAACCATCAGACAGTCAAAACCATCTACAGATAGGGAAAGTTTTTCAATGAAATCCATTGAAATTCTCTATAAAGCTTTCTGAGGAATGTTTAAAGGTTGCAGCAACCCAGGGTAATGGACATGTTCCACCTTACTTAACTGGCAAACTTGGCAATTTCTCACAAACTCTTCCACATCTTCTTTTAAGTTTTTCCAAGTGAATAAATTCCTCATCCTCTGGTAAGTTGCTTTCTGCCCAAAATGACCCCCTAGAAAGGAAGAATGAAAAGTTTTTAGCAGCAACATTCTGATCTCTCCCTGGGTGCCCACATAAATCTTCCCAGTCTTATTTAGCAACCCCCCACATATTGCAATTGAGAATTATTGTCACTATCCAAAGTTGCTGCCAAAATCAAATTTTGAGCCTCTTCATCTCCCATATAACTGCTAGCCAATTGCTCCAACCACAATGGTTGAACTAAAGTCATAGCATATACAGGATCAAAACTGGTTTCAACACTCCTTGAAAGCGCATCAGCAGCTACGTTTCCCTTTCCTCTTTTGTATTGGATCTCATAATCCAATGCCAGCAACTTAACTAACCATTTCTGCTGCAAGGGAGTTGTGATCTTCTGCTCCAACAGATATTTGAGGGCCTGGTAATCTGTCTTTATGATAAAATGATTCCCTTGTAAATAGTGTTTCCACTTAGTGATAGCCATCATCAAGGCTAGGAGTTCCTTCTCATAAGTTGATAGAGCTTTATTCTTTTCACAAAATGCTTTATTGAGATAAGCTATAGGTTGTCCCTTCTGCATTAGTCCTGCCCCCATTCCATCTCCACAGGCATCAGTTTCCACCACAAAAGGTTGAGAAAAATCTAGTAACTTAAGCACAGGTGCAATAGACAATACTTGCTTTAACTTTTGAAAAGAATCAGTTGCTTTCTGATCCCATCTGAATTCCCCCTTCCTTAACAAATTAGTGAGAGGTTTGCTCAACAACCCAAAACCTTTAATGAACCTTCTGTAGTAACCTGCTAACCCCCAAGAACCCTCTTAAGTCCTTAACAAACTGAGGAATTGGCCAATTAATAATGCCTTGGATTTTAGCAGAATCCATGTGAACTCTTTGATGGGAAATAACATGGCCAAGGTATTCCATGGAAGGTTGACCAAAAGAGCACTTTGTTCTCTTAGCATACAACTGATTATTCACCATAACTTGCATTACCTTATCCAAATGAATCACATGATCTTGCAAAGTAACACTGTATACCAAGATATCATCAAAGAAAACCAGAACAAACTTCCTAATGTGGTCTTTAAAAACCTTGTTAATGAGATTCTGGAATGTAGCAGGAGTATTGGTCAATCCAAAAAGCATGACTAGAAATTCAAAATGACCATGGTGGGTCTGAAAGCAGTTTTAGGCACATCATCCTTACAAACCCTCAGGTAACCAGAGCTGAGATCAATCTTGGAAAAATACCTGGAACCATAGAGCTCATCTAACAGTTCTTCAATTTCAGGAATTGGATACCTGTTCTTGACTGTTAATGCATTCAGGTGCCTGTAGTTAGTGCACATCCTCCATAAACCATCCTTCTTTTTAGTCAAGAGAACTGGTGATGCATAGGGACTCTCACTTTCCCTGGCAGTTCCCTTCTGTAAAAACTCCTCAACTTGTTTTTCAATCTCATTTTTGTGAGCATGTGGATATCTATCGGGTTTCAACTTGAAGGGTTCTGATCCAGGTTTCAAGGGAATTTGATGATCCACTAATCTTAGTGGTGGTAACTCAGTAGGTTCTTCAAACACTTGGGGGCACTTGTCCAACACATTTTGAATTTCAGCTGGAATTTCCAACTCTTCTAAACAGGACATCACTGTCACAGTCATACCCCCATACATAGGTTGCTTCACTTTGTCACCTTCAAACCACTTCATTCTTTTATCTGTCAAATTAAAATGCACCTCACTTCTGGTTCTCTTGAACTGTTCTTGCATGATCATACCATGTACCTCATCTTCAGTAGCCAAAGAATGACCCTTGATCATAAAACTTCTTCCTTTCCATGACATCTCAATGCAACATTTATCATAATCGAAGAGAATAGGTTAAAATGAGACATCCAATCAGTGCCCAAAATCATTCCCCAATCCTTCAAATCCATGATTCTGAAATCAAACTGAAAGTGATGCTTTTGAATGGTCCACTTGGCTGCTGGACACATGATATTGTTTTTGATTTGGTGATCATCAGCTACTCTCACATAGTAAGGTTTAACAACCTTTCTGACCAAACCAAGTTTCACTGCCAAGGTATTATCCACAAAACTTCTCACTACTCCATTGTTAATCAAAATCATAATCAACTCATTGTTAATATAGCCCAACACTACTATCAACCTTCTAGGTTCTGGTTGATCCTCCCCATTCATTGCCGTACACTCATCCCAGCAATATATAGCATGTACTTGCATTTCAGGAGCCACCTCTAGCTCATCACTCAACCAATCGACCTGTTCCAAATCAATATCATCATCCACAACAATCAAGTTGACATGTTCCATTTTACATACATGTCCAGGTCCCCATACACCATTGCATTTCCAACAGAGGTTGACTGTTCTGTATTCCTTTTCCTCAGGTTATAATATTAGACGTGATTTTAGGGATTTAATTAGATTAGTTTTGATTTGATCTTATCTAGTATTTAATGCCATTAATAGAATAAGAATCAATATTTTTGTATAAATATCCATTGTATCAATTCAATAAAATACACAAAAATTCCACCATGTCTTTCTTGTTTGGTTTATTCTAACATGGTATCAGAGCCGGTTTATCGGTTTTGGGGTTATGGTTAGAAATTTTTCGATTTTCTTTTCCAGTTCTCTTCTGCTCTTTTGTTGCTCTGCCTATTATTGAAATTTGAAAAGTCTCCTTTTGCCTGCTTCTATCTTGTATCTTGGTAATCTGTCATCTTCTCTTCTGTCTTGATATCTCGATGATATTTTATTTTTCAGCTACTTGCTTGATGTTCTGTTGTCTGCCCGTTGATTCGTCAACGTCTTGTCTCCGGATTCTACAATTTCGGCTCCGTTGCTCTCCTTTTTGGTCTCTGTTACACTATTATTTTTCTCAGATGATTGATCTGCCACCCATTCTATTGGTTTTCACTACTGAGTTTGTCTGGTATTTCATCGATATTCCGTCACTCTGCGACTGCATATGTTTGCATCGGTGTTCCGCCACTATCTTGATTCCGGGTGCTTTGCCACCGTCTCTGCTCTTCACTCCTCTTGCTTGGAGTTCTGTCGTCTACTACTGTCTACTTTTTGCTGCCAAATCTTTGTTCTTCACTGGATCTGACTTTCTTCCTTAATTAATTTTTTTTTCCCGCTGTGTTTCCATTTGGGCAAACTCAAGTTTTGCCTAACTTGAGTTTGGGTGGGGGTGTTAGACGTGATTTTAGGGATTTAATTAGATTAGTTTTGATTTGATCTTATCTAGTATTTAATGTCGTTAATAGAATAAGAGTCAATATTTTTGTATAAATATTCATTGTATCAATTCAATAAAATACACAAAAATTTCACCATGTCTTTCTTGTTTGGTTTCTTCTAACAGATAACCTCTTAAAAACAGGTTTATCATTCTTCCTTATACCTTGAGCAGCTACCTTTCCCCCAGCATTGGAAGTTTTACTCACAGGTGGATTATGAACCTTAGGTTTAGAAACCAAGGAGTGAGTAGATTCCTGAGTTCTTGCTGCTTCAAAAAGCTCTTTGCATTGTTTTAGGTTCAAAAAACCTCACAAAGTGCTTATACTCTTCTTTCAATCCACTAATCAACCTGGATATGAAATAAGTTTCACTCAATCTCGAATCAACACACGGAACCTTACACTTCAACTCCTCAAATCTGTCATAATACTCCCTAATTGTTCCCCTCTGACTAAGTTTATTGAATTCCTCAATTGGATCATCACACTGATCCTTGAACTTTTTAATTAATTCGGTCTCAAACAGTCTCCAATCAGCATAAGGATAAACTGACTTGAAGCCTTGATACCAAATATCTGCAACTCCATCCAAATAAAACTCCACAAAATCCAACTGCTCTTCCAGAGTCATTTCATGCATACGGAAATACTTAATGACACTTTTTCAACTAACTTCTAGTATTTTCTTCAGAGAAAATAGGTAATTCAAGCTTAGGCTTAGGTTTCCACTTATTATACTGCCTACTATCCCCAATCACAGTGTTATCCCCAAACTCCTGACCACGAGTTCGTTGAGCAAAATTAAAGCCACAATTCACAGAATTATCGACTCTTTAATCTAATTTAACACCAAAAACGGAAGGAGATGAGTGATTGACAGTGTTCTTACCCATACAAGTCGAAGAAACTTGGACAGGCTCCTTCAATTTTTCAATTCCCGAAACCCTAGCCTCCAGAGCATCCAATCTGCCTCCCAGCTTCCTGTCGAGCTCTGCCTGAGCTTGATTCATTTGCTGCATCTGTACAGTGTGCTCCTTAATCTGCTCTAGAACCGTCGCGATTGATGCCTGATCACCAGAATCCCCCTGATTCTGTACGCGTTTGGAAGCAATAATTCCAAACAGGCCAAGGAATTACAATCTCTGGATACCAAATGTTAAAAACCGGACTGGAAATGATCTTTTATTAAAGGCAAATGATCCTCACCGGCGCCGGAATGGCGACGATTCAGTCGGAAGAAATGGAGCATGGCAATTTCTGGTAGCTGAAACCAAAACCGGAAAAACATCTTGTGAAAAAATATTGATCATTTTCTGTAGGTGGGAAGCCATCTGGGATGGCCTGAAATCTGAAATCTGCTGATCCATCGAAAGTGTTTGGAGCTCTTGATTTGAGTGTGCGATCGTAGATATACTCAGTATGAACAAAGGTTGTGAAGAAACCTTTGTTGTGGAGTAGTTTTGCTAACTTTAACATTGCATTAATATGACTTTGAGCTGGCCATGGAATGCAAAACAGCATGAGGTATTTTGGCTAACTTTTCCATGGCTGATTATTTTGCTGTGAATAATTTTTTGTCTAAGAAGAGTAAGCACAAGTTCTGTTTTCATCCTTTGCTTTGGAATCGCTTCTAGTGGTTTCGACTTGCAAACCTTTTTTCAAGTCATGCTCGTGTGGAAAAGAAAGTATGGCCTGGCCTCATATATTCAGTCTTCATCCTTTTTTTGAACACAATTGAAAATAATTGCAGTTCTGGTTCTTACCTTCATTGTCCTCCAGATGTCTTGAATTCAAGACATATGAAGCATGAAGTTCAAGACACATTTGTCCAATGGCCTAACTTAGATTACAATGTGTATCATGTTCACTGGTTAAAAAATCGTACTCCCTCCAGTTCTATTGTCCAACATCGAGAAACCCCCCAATGATCCGCGCTGTTAAGGGTATTCCCGCAGCTATCAACCAGAGAACAATGTGTAGTTACTGAGTACATTTTCACTGAGCATATGACAATTTGTGCATTTGCGTTCTGTATATTGTTTAATTAAATCATCTTCCTAGAAGTGCATATTTGCTTGATACCATTTCAAAGTAATTTACAGCCACAACCAGCGAATCTTGTTTACGAACCTTCGAGTTGTATAAAATGGCACATCGGGTTTAAATTTCTAGCTTACACTAACAACGCTCTGAAGCAATGTCTCTAGATCACTCAACCTGCATTGAACACAAAAAATTACAGCTATCAGATATAAAAAAGAAAACAAGGAAGAACTTTATTTTTTATTTTTTTTGTTTTTTGAGGAAGAAAAAAAAAAGAAGGAAGTTTAGTTTGCAGCTGAGGTAAGTTACTGTTACCTGACACCACTCAAGTCAGGGTACTTTGCTATGGCCTCTTTAAAATCCTGTAGTTTACATACAAAGAAAGAAAAGATCCAGCTGTAAGAAAAAATTAAGCTCACAAATGATAAATCCAATGTCCTCTGCATACCAACCATAAGTCCCTTAAAGTCATATCAGCCTCATTGTAAATATCACGTAACAGATGTTTACCTGGTTAGCAGTAGAAGATGTGTACGTTATTATACATCGCATTCCAGCACCCGTTGCAGCCTGCAGGATAAGTTCCAATATTCATTTCCCTCATGTCGGAAACCATCATTTATTTGCGTATAGTCTTCGAATTAATAGCTTGGACAAGAAAAAGCTAATGAATTCATCAAGCTTCAAATTGAGTTGGCATGATTAAAGGGGATGGCCACAATGCCGTAAAAGCTTTTTACAAAAATAGAATCTTCAAGATTGTTTAATCGATATTTCAGTCTGAAAGAAATCAATTTTAGCACCAAAAGTACGGAATTCATGGATAACAATCATCTTCACCACCAAGAATCTCATTATGGTTAGACACATTATACATTCAAACTAGAGTTTCAATCCAACTCCTAAAATTTCCCGTACTGAGAGAGACTGGCCTGAATGATTAAGCAAATGATCCTTGGTACTTCTTGTCTCTCTCATGATTACATAGAAATAAATTCAGGGAAATCAGAAACGAGCGACAAAATACCAGATTCAGAAAGCAATATCAGCATCATTATCAAAGACTTGAAAAGAGGCAAACATTAACCTGTAGCCCAATAACACTATCTTCCACCACCAAGCAATCATCAGCAGACACCCCTAGACTCTGCAGATTATGATAGACAATCACTCAGTAACACTTATATACAGGATGACAGCTAAAATGCAGAAAGAATACGACTTCCTGCCACTTTCACTACCTTAGAAGCAGTAAGGTATATTGAAGGATCGGGCTTCTTTTCCTTCACGTCATCACCTTTAAAACAAAGATAAAATGAGTGCAGCTGACATAATGATTTGTGGCCAAAACTTTTTGATCTGATTACAAGAACTGTGTTGATTGCTGTGTCTTTGGTGGTAGATTTTTATCAGTGCTCAAGGAAATCTTAAAACAGAGTAACTGGAGAATACTGTAAGTCTTACATTATTGTTTTGCAAAGAAGAGGAACTCTCAAAATATTTTGCAGTATAGAGTTCATTATCAGACTCTTGAAACTTATCCGTGATATTTCATTACTTTAGCAGGATTTCAGTATTCGAAGTCATTTCAAGAATATATGGATATGCTTGAGGAAACCATATCTGAAAGCACATGGTGTTCAAGCTTTAATTTATCAATTCAAGCTTGACTTCTACATTCCATGTCCAAGCCTTGCTTCTTACGTCTTTGCACCTTTACAAATTAGTGCTTTAGTTGATTAACTTAAATCAGCTATGAATTCAGACTTAGTTCCACATATTGATAATTCCTTCACACATAAGTTATAACTGCTTTGGCTCGAATGCACTAGACTAGATTCACATCTCAGCTTCATCAATTACTGGTTTTTTCATACATGTCATAGGTTTTCCCTATGCGAGCTCATGTAATTTAGAAGCACCAAGCCGCTCAGGGTTTGAGCTCTTTAAAAGTACCAAGTAGTTCCAGTAAGCATGCAAAGCATAATGTTTTAGCCCCCAGCATTTAGGTTGCTGCTCATAAATAAAACAAGAAGATTTACAAATTTGATATCTACGCTATTAATATGAATAAAAAGTTCAAAATACCTGCTAAAAAGCAGTCTAGACCTTGAAACCTCTCCTGTAAGAGGATTATTATGATCAATAACTAAAATGGGAACATAAGGTAAAGAAATGAAATTAGATTACAGCGAACAAGGGCTCACCATTCCGATTAGATTTTCAAGGCATAGCACGACTGAGCTTTTGGTTGCAGCAGAGCAAACAGCCAGTTTTGTGCCCTGAAAACTATAAATCATAAGCCATAGCCTCTCCAGTATCGAGAAACGAAACTGTACAGACATTAATCAGTCAATAAGTGATCAATCTTACAGAAGCTTTGGCCTCATCCATCAATCTCAGAACTCCTGGTCTAGGCTGAACCTGATGACACAATAGCAAGGGAGAGTCGTGACTTCATCAAGAATAGAAACTTGTACACAGTAGAAAACAAATAGAATCTGATCTTACAGTTCCGGATTTGATTATATCTTTATACCTCTCAGTCTTCCAATCCTGAAAAAGCCATCACAACTGATAAATCAGCTTACTTGATCGGAAAAACTGCAAAGATCAACTCTAATAAGGACAAAAAATTTCTCAAAGCATAAGGAATTAATTATGATGTGCCATGAATGCATGTCTCTCATATGGAAGAATTCAAGTGACATAGAACAATAAAAATAAAATTAATTAGATAGACTATATTGCTCTGCTGACTACTGGCTTATAGTAGTTGCCAGGCACAAACTAGAACGTGCACCCTAATTATTAAAGATTTGCTAGCAGTTCAGTTCATCATCAACCCATCAACGAATGTGGAGCGCATTTGTATTAAGATTTTGGATACGTGATCACCAGACCAAAATGTGCATGATATTTACGTTTGAGATCATTAAACTTTATCGTCAACACATTAAACAATCAATTATGCTTCGTGTGTAAATATGATCTAGTGATCCAAATTCTACTCTGGTACAGTTCTGTTTCCTCTTCCTTACTTATAGCACAACCAGGCAAAAAATGTCCCAACAGTTTAAGGGAAAAAACCTCATACCAAAAGCTAAGGAAACTCAACTTGAATAATATCAATAAGCTTCTCTTTGTCATCATCATTCTCAGGAGGGTTCTCAAATATGGTCGAACTTGGCCATCCATGCTCTTTAAAATACCTAATCGAAAATTATAGAAATCGTAATCCAACCGACACAATCAATTAATCTTCCTTAAGAGAATAAACTGAAGAAAACGGAATTGATGAATGTTATAAATGTAAGTCGTACCATCTCATTTTAGGTTTTCCACCACCGATTCGATTCTGGAGCTCATCATAGAATTCAAGTCCCCAATTCAACGGCTCAGATGCATCTGAAGGCACGCGGACATTGAAGTGAAAGAAGGCGTCGTTATAGGCTTGCCGATGCAAGTGTTCCGACTCTAATATGACGCCGTCGCAGTCGAATATCAGCGCTTGTAGCGCACGCGACGCCGCCGAGACTGAGAAACGTGGAATCCTCCTCCTTCCCCTGCTTCTCAGCGTCCTGATCGTTGCCGTAGAAAACGGAAGTATTGCCGGCCGATTGAACTGAGTAAAGGAAGAAGAAGATGAAAAGAGGCGGGAATTGGGTGGAGAGAGGAGCATGGTGAATGTCGATGAGGATGAGGAATGGAGCGACGCCATTGATGCGTGGAAAAACGATGATGTTTGAAAGTTTGAGAGATTTTAACCGATTTAACGACTTTTTGTTTCATTTTTTGCGCCAAAAAAAGAAAGGAAAAAGGAGTCTTTTTTTGGACTTCTTCGGATACGCTTTAGAAAGCCCATTAGGTAACACAAGCCCGTATTTAATTGGGCTTATCTTGTCTTCTTGATGGTTTCAGAAAAAAATCGTGATTTTTGATCTTGGAAGTTTGCATTATGTGAAACAGCAAACCTGATGATGGAGAAACTCCGGTTTGATTAAAAATTATCGGTGTTTAATTTTGAATACTAGATATTTTGAACGAAAAAGCTGAATTTATTAAGCCATAAAAATATATATTGTACTCCATCCGTCCCAGAAAAATAGTCTAGTTTAAAAATGTACAACTTTTTTAATTTGGTCAACACATCAAATGTACAACTCATTTTATTCCCCTAACTTCCACTAAAACCCCTCTTAATTATTTTTATAAAAGTTAACTACACATGCATTTATTTTACAACTTAAATTTGATCAAAATTTTTATCTCAAAAAATATTGACAATGGATCTTGATGGAAAGATCTCTTACATAGATTAATTTGATATATAACACATTTTTTAATTATTCATGTACTTTATTTTATTTTATTTTATGAAAATGGGTAAATTCTATTATTTGAAACGAACAAAAAACTTATTTACAATACGTTAACCAGTTTCCTGCACCTCTTCTGTTCTCTATTATTCAGCACAGGAGGACAAGTATTAATGCCTATTGCATTTGGATACCTGCTATCTGCTGCTTTCAATTTTATACATGTAAATTGCACCTTCCACCGCATCTCTTGTTTTATGAGATCAATTCTGTCCGCTACTACCTTTTCCTTCTGCTGATACTTCTTTAAGTTCCTTTCAATCCATATGTGATGAATAGAAGCCATGACAGCATAACTGATAATGATTCTTTTCACGTTTCGAAATCGGAATTCATTCTTTACTTTAGCCAATACATGTTTTAGTCGCCGTTGTCTGATTGGAATATTCATTAACCAGTTCAGCAAACCTGTCAGCATTTGATTCCCATAGTCACACTCAAAAAATAAGTGGCTTGATGTTTCTTCCACACCTGAATCACATAGGCAACAGTTCTGTTTATCCACATTAACATTCATGCGAGTCAATCTTTCCACAGTCAAAAGCCTGTTTTGATTTGCCAACCAAGCAATATAGCTATGTTTTGGCAAGCACCATCTATTCTATATCAGCCCTGCTTCTGGTTTCTGTTGCCCTTTATTTCTCCAAAATTCATATCCTCGTTTGATTTTGTAGTCTGTTTCATCTGATCGCCATGCTCAAACTACAACACCGTCCTTTACTTTCTCCTTTACTTGTATTAGGACTCTCCAATGCCATCCACAATCTGCCGGACATCTATATTCCCATAGGTTCTGATCTTTCAAATATATCTCATTAATCCACTTAACCCAAAGAATGTTTTTCTTGCCTGCCAAGTCCCAAAGCTGTTTTGCAATAGCACCTTGGTTCCATAGTATTGGGTCCCTGATTCCCAAACCTCCCTCTTTCTTAGGTTTACAGACATTCTCCCATAATTATTCATGTATTAAAAGATATAATCATTTAAAAAAAAGGGAGAAAACTAAAAAAAAAATGAAAATCAAAGTAAGTGAACCTTGTTTTCATTATCACTACTCTTTTGGATATTTAAGTCATTTCAATTCAATTAATTTTGACTTTTGTGATACTGGACTATTTTTTTGAGACAAACTTTTTTATTAAGCTAGACTATTTTTGTGGGACGGAAGGAATATAATATAAGCTGATTTTTTTTAGTTATATTTTATTCGACAGTTTAAACAATTAATTCATTAAAAGTTTCATTTTTATGTTAACAAACTAGGAAAGAAAATCCTTTTTAATCAAATAATTTAAAAATTTATGAGTTGTTGCTGTTGTCAAACAAGCCACCACGTTGGTCAATCGAATTCGTGCAGACAAATTTTAGTCAAGGCAGTGCGATACGTGTAGACTTTAACCCTCCCAATTCATTTTTTTTTTAATAATAATTCATTACAAAAGCAGAAAGAATAGTCTTCAAGTTCCAGTAGTCACGTGGTGCATATTTGAACTCGCATTTTGGCTTATTGTTTTCGCTGATAAAATTCAAATTGCAAATTCATCTTTTTAGGTTTCGGAAAGAGTCGTCAATTATACCAAAAAAAAGAAGAAGAAAATTATATAATGAATGATGTGATTGACTCCGATTTCCTAACAACCAACAACAACATAACTGTAAATGGACATAAAAACACGAGATATCTGATGGACGTTTGGAAAATGTCATTTTTCTTTGCTTCAAAAACCATTTTCGACAAGAAACGAGATGACGTGTATATCCTTTATTGTCAAATTACCTTTCTTCCTTAGGGAAAAATCATCTTTTGCCTCTTATATTTACCTGGTTACTTTTGATTATGCTCTTAGTGTTAAAAAAAATTCATCTAATTTTCCGACGGTCTGAATTAAAGTGAACTATTATAATGAGACAGAAAATAATGTTCAAATTCTTACGATCAGTCCACTAGTTCTGCAATTTCTTCCCTCCGTCCAAACAGAACAACATTACTAATATTAAGACGAAAGGAGGTACCAAGATGGGAAATTATCTCTTAATTAACAAATTCCGTGATGCAATATAGCAAAGATCATCCAACTCCAAGAAAGTGCCAAAAGTACTTGGCAGAAGACAAGAAAATACAATTACACACGTACGAAAAGAAAAAAGAAAAAAACAATGCCATCAAATCGGATACGTACACAGGAGCACTATTTATTTCACCAGGAAATTCTCAGAAAATCAGAACTGCTTCGCTGTGATTCATGTCCTCCACCTCTCCTCTGATCTCAAAAGATTCCCTCCTCATTTACCTTAACTAACGGAGTAGTAAAACGTATAAGATTCTTCGAAATTACGGCTACGTTCCAAATTGACTATCTCGCAAAGGCGTTTTTCGTAAATTCAAACCCTATGACCTCTTCTTCTGTAAGAAGATATATCCTCTAAAGTCTAAAAGAAGACACAAAATCAAGAAAGATCGTGAAAATCCCAAGAAGATAAGAGACGAACGACGACAGCTAAAACAAGAGATCACTACAAACTTATTAGCCCTCCATTGGAGCAACATATGCGACAACATGTAACGAGGTACTATACTAACGTATTTCTTTCGTCCCAAAATGATTGTTAATTAATACAATAATTACATGATAATTGGAACAATGCGTGAGTGATTATTATGTTCTCTAATCATCATTGGGTAACGTAGAAACTGGAAATCGATAGTACAACTTCAAACTTCAATCCAATAATAAATATATTGAAAGGGGAAAAAAAAAAAATCAAGTCACAATCAGATTGATAGTAGCTATCACTGTGCAAAAAAAGCTGTATTATAGTTTGTTTCAATTAATGTGTACATCATCACAATAAATACGCTCTAACACCCCTCTTAATAAATAAGTCTTGTCTCTATCTAAATAATAGTACTAAGAAATTTCCCGTACAAAACGTTAAAAAAAAAAAAAAACATATACTATTATCATCAATCGAGATAATTTCTATACACTTTTTAGCATAGTAAATGCTGATTAATTAACCAAATGTTATCAAATTAATAATCAAGGGTTGTAAAAATGGCCGCCGCACCGGCATTTCCACCCGAGGGGCTTGTAATTTGAGTACCTGTTATTATTACCGCCGGAATACGGTGACGAGTCAAAGTAATTCTCCACGGCGGTGGAGGCGGTGGTCGGCGGCACGGTCGATTCAGCCGCCGCAGCGTCGCCGTCGTCTTGTTGGTGGCTATTGTGGGTTGGCATTGTGGGGACTTGAACCGCCATGCATGGATGACAATTGTTGCATTTGTTGTAGCAACTCGGTGGCGTTGAACCCAACCTTGTCTTTTCTTCCACCATTGAAGTAACCTTTTTCCACCCCCCCAAAAAAAAAAGCGCACACACACACACACACACTAACAATGTTACAATTGTTTTAATTAATCATCAACAACCCAATAAAGATTAGAACAAGATAAGTAAGAATATATATTTGTTACATACCTCGATGTTAGTTGGAGGCAACTTCTTGTGACCAAAGCAAGAAACAGGAGCAAGAGCAAGAAGATGAAGAAATGTAATGAACACTAAAAACGTAGAGAATGTAGCAAGAAATGAAGTTATAGCCATGGTTGCATTGTAGGGGTCTATTGAGGAAATTAAGTCCAATTTCGATCAGGGTTTTTCTTGAATGGACTTTAAAAAAAGAAAAACTTGTTTTGGATCATGCAAGAGAAAAATATGGATTGAAGTGAAATGATGTGGAGAATATGTTTGTAGAATAAAATTGGGAATAATGAAAGTGGAGAAACTCAGGAACATGAAAGAAAGGTATGGGGTAGGATGACTAGATTTAGAAGAGGAGGTGGGGAGGAAGATGATTGGAAAAACTCGAGAAAAAAAAAAAAAAAAAAAGTGAAGCACTGAGAGAAGGCAGAAGAGTGAAAAGAACAAGACAGGGGGGAAAGGTTTGGATACACAAAATTTTTTGGGTAAAGAAATGGCAGCAGAAAGAGAAACGACTTTTAGTCACTGTTCCTTTTTTTCCTTTCCTTTTTTTTTTTTTTCTTTTTTCCTTTTTTTTTAAAACAATGATGAGAGAATTGGCCGCTGGTAGGGCTTACAAAATAGTTGCAAGGTTTCAAAAATAAAAGTTTGAAGGTGAAAAAATAGATGTGCTTCTTAAAAATGGTGCAGATGTTTTATGAAGCCAAAAAAAAAAAAAAAAATGGGGTGCTTGTGGGGCTCAGAAAGTCAGAATATGAGTGGATGGAATGGGGAGGGAAGGAGATGAACAGCAAATATTTTTAATTTTTGGCTTTACTAGTTTAAGAATTGTGAAAATCTTGCCCTAAGGCTATGTTTGGATTTTTTTTTATGTATTTTTTTGTATTGAGAACGTAAAAAAATGTATTGAAAATGTAAAAATGTATACTGAGATGGGACAAATGTTAATTAAAAATTCTGACTCACAATTAGTATATACGTAAATATTATAGTAGTCTTCTTGTATCGTAAATTAAATTATTCACTCGCTACAAAATTCTCTTGTTTTTTTTTTTTGTAGTATTATGAAAATTTTCTTAACTGATGACAGGGGTGGTAAATATTGTGAATCCAGACATTTGAGATAGCCAGGCAAATTCACCTATTTTTTATTTTATTTATTTTTTTTTTACCTGTAATAGTTTACATTTTCATAACGAAAAATTTGAAAGTTTTACTAGTTCATCGATCATGCACATAAATCCCCATATAAAGTTAACTCACATTATAAAGTGTTTATCTCGTATGTACAAAATATATGCTAAAACGTTAAACAATGTATAATATTATTTCATCCTACCAAAGGAGCATCACATTATAGCCTGTCATCTACGATCAATTATGCATGATTGTGTAACGTCAATGTTATCATTTTCATATATTTTTTTATGTTACTTGGTCCCTAATCTACAATATGTGTTAAAATATACCTTTTGCTTTGTCCAATGACCATTCTAAATTGCTTTTCTTTGCTTTCCTCCTAAATGCGAAAACAATTCCAATTGCAAAGTATTTTTTTTAAAAAAAAAAAAGATTTTTACAAATGGTCCCGAAAATCAGAGATTGCTGAACCAAATTAATAATAAATGCAAAAAAAATTTCCATGTCTGGGAAGTAGTTAAAATCCTCAATTAATGAGGGCAGATGATATCTTTTTCAGCATATGCAGAATCAGGGATAAATGTGGAGCTTTGACTGTGACTGATTTTTGATTGAACGAATCAAAAATTAAATTAAATAAAAAAAAAAAAAAAGAAGAGAGACAGAGAGAGATAGGCATTATTAGTCCTTGTTATTTTTCATTCATTAATTTCTCAGAACAACTCAACTCGTTTTCTTGCAGATATATTGAAAAAAAAAAAAAGTTTCATCCATTAATTTCCACCAAAGTCTAAAAATTACTCCTTTAAATTATTTTTGTATTTTAATATGTTCGCTCTGTTGATCGGTCCCTTTAATTTGAATCCTTTATAGTATCTGTATTTTGTTACATTTTTTTGGCTTATAGTTGAGAAAGTACATACAACCATTTTGCCTTGTTTACACCAACATGGCTAAAATGCCCATCTTGCTTCATATTATTGCTTTTAACACGACCTATATTTATTTTGTGTACTACTGGTGTAACAAGAGGCTGCAATCATTGCATTATAACAACCATCCAACACCCCCACCAGCTATGACAGGTTCGATATTGGAATATGTTACTATAAATATAAATAAATTGGATTTTAGTCACAATAGAGAAAAAGAAACGATTATATATATATATATTTTAATTTTCTCTAAACTTAATGATACCTAATGTTAATTATCGGAGTTAATTTATTTCAAGAGCGCATTTGATCATCAAGGGCGCAACATGCATGTGACCCTAGTGTTGAGATTGCAGTTTCCCATTCATTTCTAAGAAAAGGATTTTTCGTTTGTTGGATGTATGCAAAATGGAAATTATTGTCATGCAAATTTTTTTTTTTCCGCATTTGTTGAGAAATTTTCCGTGAATATATCCCATTTGAAACATTGTCATTTTCCAACTTACTCGTGGGAAACAACAATTTGCATGAAATTAATGGACAGCATTTCAGTTGTGCCTCTATATATTGGCATGCCCAATTTGTCGTGAACATGAATTATACTCTTACGATTTTATAATAACAAATCCATTTCTGTAATAACTAAATTTTAAAATTGGACGGTACAAACTTAAATCGACTCTGATTAATACATAGATCATCATAAACATAAAGTATTCGTTTACGTGCACATTCTACACTCGTACATAACACATGCGAGATCTCTAATCAACATTTGAGAAGTTCTTTTTTTTTATTATTATTATTTACATAGGACGAAGAACAACTAAGAACGTGAAAAAGGTAAACATGCATTTATGTTTTTTGAGTCGGCAAAAATTGAGAGATGGTGAGACCGTTGCGTATGAGAGTCAGCTTCAGCAAGTACTAGAAGAAAAGTACGACGTTAAGTTGAATGTTGTTGCATAGACAATGGTTCATACATATCCGAATGTATTAATTCTAACATCTGGAAAATCTTATGCCGCCTAATCTTATTTTATTTACTTGTTTCTTTTTTCTTAGTATACTTAAGACAGATTTTTTTTAGAATCTGATAAGTCAAGTGATTTAAGAATTTCGGCTAATTTTATTATTTGTCTAAAGTAAGTGGCTTAAACAGTTTTACCAAACTGATACGAAATTTCCATTACCAAATTTTCTTTTGGTACCATATAAATTATCATGCTATGTTTGGTTAATTGAAGCAATGGTCTTAAGTAAATAAAAGGTTACCATGACTTAATAACGAACTGAATTGACTTTCTTTTAATTTTGAAAGAGACTAACAGACTGTTACCAAAAGAACATAAGTAGCCGTATTTTGTTCAATATGAAAACATAAATGTAATTTCATCTAAAGATGGAACAACAAAAACCTCTTTCAAAACCAAATAAATTTTAGTCTTTTAACAATAACCTAAAAAATTTTATTACCTCAACTGTAATTATCTAACCTATATGCTGTATAGATGTGTCTTTCAACATAAATTTGCTTTTGGTGATTCAACCAATCTAACATAATAGATATACTTATATAAGTAGTAGTACCGAAGTCTACTCACTAAGTATGCTTAGCTACGTACCAAAATAGAATGAACCTTAAACAAACAGAGAAGCACCACCACAAAAGTAGCAACCAAATTTAATTTCTTAATTTTGCTTCTTTGGTGATGCTATATACTGCAACTTCATTATCGTTCTTTTCCTATTTTTTATTTTCTAAATGATTTAAATTTAATTGAGCACTTATTGATTCTTCTTTATTTTCCAAATGTATATTCATCTCTTGCTTTAATTTCTCTTCTTGTACATAATATGAAATGAACTCATTGAGAGTCTCTTCCACTTAATAACAGTAAAATTATTCTTAACCGAATCTCATTGTGTATGAGAGAGATCAACTATAACTTTAGTACCTTAAATCTTAATTCGAAATAATACTTTTAAATAATGCATTTTCTTATGTTCCCGCTTTCCTTATACCTTCTGGAAACAAGATATTTTCAAAAATACTCGTTCCCGCCTTATTATTTTTGACAAAATACTTTATTGTGGGAACAATTTTGTATTATTCATATAGTTCTTCTTAATTTTCCTCAATGTTTCTTTCTAGTTCTCGAAAGTTTACACATTGAAGTGTCCTAATGGAGTTAATAGTGGCAGAAAAAATGTAGTAGCGGAATCAACTAAACTGAAATATAACCGAATACAACTCACATTTAAAACTTAATATAACATGATTAATAAAGTCAAATTGGCATTCCCATTTATAAGATACCTAGTGCAACATTGAGTTTAGTCTTTAGACAGAAATATCAATTTGCAAGTGGTACTCTTGGTGTAGTAATCATACATTGACAATTTATTCCTGTCAAAAAATAAGATTTCTTTGGACCGACTTATTAATCACACGGAAAAATATAATAATTGTCATATATTTATTACCATAAGTATATTTTGGTTTTGGCCAAATAACGACCTTCCTTTGGGCTAATCATTACCCGCATGAAATCAAAACACACACAACTGTCATGTTGGTATTTTAAATTAATTAATCAATAAAAAAGAAGTCACTTTGGCGACGTATTATATCAATCAATCAATTTAAAAATATTAAACGTCCGAAGATAGATTCTTTATATTAAATTTAAATTTATATCACATTATATCTGTAGCCCAAAATATTTTGGGCTTAAATTGAATTTTTTTTAATCAACTCAAAAGGGTTGACCGAAAGCATACTAGATCAAATACTAAGCAATATGCAAATTTGGAAACAATATCACATATAGTACGTAGTTTAATCACAATTTCTGTATAAAAAAACTTTAAATTTTGAATCAAAACTTTAATTTAGCGAACGACAGGAACCAAATTACATTACCAAATCGGGGCCGAAAAACATGAATGTCTTAAAGCTTGAATGCATTAAACGTTCAAACTAATGCAATCAAGTTTGATGAAATTGCCGATTTTTAATCTAAACAATTCATTTTGTTACTGTAACTAAATGATCTTATACCATAAAACAGAGGGTTTTAAATTTTGCATCAAAATTGATTCTTTAATCAACAAAACCATATGGAAACCAAAACTAGAAAACCCAGGACATTTGCTGAATTAATTGAATTTAATCACGGTCGGCAGCAAGAAAATAAAACCCAAAATGGATCACAGAAGCCAAAAAAAGAAAAGATAAAAAACCTAATCAATTTCAAATTGACATGCCAAACCGATAACTTCAATAAAAAATAATAATAATTTCACTTAGG